AATGAATAGTCATAAATAAAATCTCTGCCGCGCCAGAGGATGCAAGTCGCACGTGTGTCTCCTACGTTAGAAGGTTTAGCACGTGATAAAGTGACCTGTGCACATGCAATCTTTACCATACCATTACCAAGAGAAGTAAAGAATAACTTTATTAATTTATTATAATAAAAGAAAAAAAATTAAATAAATAATGGTAGTATTTGGTTTGTGTACGTAACAACTGTCCCCATCTAACGGTTACAATTGCTGAAAAAACGATCTCCCGTATCTCCTACTGTTTTTTTTCTCCCGTCTCTTTTTCCTACCTTTTTTACTTTTTTTTTTTCTTCTGATTAATTTTTTTTACTTTACATAGGAAGAGGATAATGATACTTTAATTTAAATCTGTTAATAATTATTTTATAAATGTTTTTAATATTTTTATATCAACAATTTTAATGAAGAAATAAAATAAAAATTAAAAAAATCCAATATAGTAATTAAGATGAAGGAAATTTATTTATCATGATACCCTATATGTTCTATTTATGTGAAGAAACTTTTTAAATTGAGTGTTTTCGCTCCTAAGTCTGTGCTGTGAAAATTTAAGACCGAGACTAGAGTGATCCGATAAAGGATTTGAAAAAAAATCGAATTTATATAGAGAATTTTGTCTGATTTTGTAACTTTTAGAACTATGCCAAAATAAAATGTCCATATTATCCTTCTTTTAGTCATTTCTTAAACTTTAAAAGTGAGAAAATATCAAGGTAAGGTAACGGTAGATAAAGATTTTGAATGGATATTAAATGTGAGTCGTTCGAGTGATTTTCATCATAAAATTATTATTAATTTGGTGAATATTATTTAAAGAAGAGAGTTGTCTTTTATTGTGCAGCCCATAATGTTATTCCGGTTCGTCGGGCCTCTCATGTGTCCAAAAATGTGAGTCAAATTGCGACAACAAACCGCATATCGATTAAATCTTGAATTCAATTAAAAATGACAACATATAAGTGATAACACATACTGTTTCTATTGAAAATGACTACAAAATTTTCACTTTCAATCACATTTAAATGAAGCAATAAATAGTTTGCAAAAATATTTAAACAAATATGCTCTATTTTAAATATGGGAACTGCTCATATATTTTAGTTTAATTACCTCATTAATTCAAGTACAAAGATAGTTTTCTCTACATAAATATATAAAACGGGAAGAGTAATAAATTACATGTATGGTTTAAAAGAACGGAATATTATTATCCTATGATTATTTATTTATATATGAGTTAGAGCTCAAGTAGTACAACAGCCAAGCTAACGAAAACATAAATGGAGTCCAAGCAAGTAGATATTGAGAGAGCTAGGTTGAATACAGGTATTACCAAGATAAATAACCGTACCAATTTCATTGACTTGGGTGCTAGAATTAATTTCATTATGTTGACCTTTTGCAATAGAGCTGTCTGTGGAAGTTGTTACAAGTTATAAATGGTAAAATACAGTTGGATTTCGTTGGATACTATATTTATAGCCTCATTAATTATAACTTTCTCAAATACTCCAATCTTGGGCATCCATCATTGCCAGTTGCAAGTTTCAATGAGTTGTGTAAGCTTGGAAGGTGGGCTTATACATTTTCTAGCGTCACTCTTGAAAACAAGAGAGAAAAAAATGAAAAAAAAAAAAAGAGCAATTCGGTTAAATTATTAACTAAACAGTGCCAAATGTCTAATTTCGTAAGAAATATAATATATAATTTAATAAATTCGTCATAAATCCAATTTGGAAAATAATTTTGAGAAGATAATAATTTTTTATTAAAATTTAAATGTTTCTTTAATTAAAATCTATCCACATCAATGTAGAGTTTCCTTCTATTTTGAATTTAACCATAAATTAAATTAATATTTGAAATTATTTGTTCTTTTCTTAAAATTTAAACTTCCGTTGATAAATTTTGTTTCATTGCAATTAATAAGCATAGCAATTTATTTTTTTCTAGTCAAAAAATTAATTTTTATAAAAATATTAAAAAAATCAATAAATTTCAATTTCACTTCTTCTATGGTTCTCGGATTTGTGCCCAGCGTGTGATCACAGCCGTTCCATCTCATATGCCTAAATTCTCATCTTGATAGAAGTATATAACCATTAGAATAAAACTGAAACTCCATTTTCATGTCTTGACATTTTGAAATTTTTCATTCTTCATCTCATGTACACATTTACTCACTTATACTAAATTTATTTTTAAATCGGTGAATGTAAATTCTAATTTAAGTGAAATTTACTAAAAAAAAGAAGAAACTTAAATTTGTATAATTGTTTTATTTTAAAAGTCATTCAATTAGTTACAAAATTTTAATTCTCCAAGTGGTAGGTTAAATATCTATTTTTTCTATATTTGCACCACAAACATGGGTCTTAAATCTTTCGTAGCGTGTAGCATTACTCAATGTATGTATATATGATGAATTTTATATATTTCATCTATATAATATTATTTTTATATGATATTTTTAATATTTTTTTCTTTTTAGCAACGTCTAAAATTATAATATTATGTTAGAAAAATAATAGTCTTAGTACTGAACAAAGGTGATAATAGTCTTAACATTTATTTTTTAAAGAAAGGCACAGCATTATTGCTGCAGTACATAATAATATAAAATAAAACTACTATAAGATAAGATATTTAAGCAATTGATGTTGGTAAAGGAATTTGAGAGGAAGCGAAATAAATGGGCAGAAAATCTCGCAACATTGTCTAACACCGACCTCAAAACGACAGATAAACACAAAATAATTGTAAAAAGAATCTGCTAATAATACTAATAAACAAAATATAAAAAAAAATCTCACACGCCAAACGGCACCAGTATCAGGTAGTAGGTACGATGTACGAGTAACAGAAACGGATACGGATCTCTATTTCCATATCTCCTCCATTAAATCCATGTTTACCTTTATTTGTTTTCTTTTTATTATTATTAACAAAATAAATTATAAAATAATTCCCCTCCTCCCTTAATAATTTCTCTCTGAAAAAAATAAAGGGTTATTGTATTTTATAGTATTAAGGAAGCTGAAGAGAAAGTCCGTGCTCATGGCCATGGGGGCGTGTGCACTATTTTTAATTTTGGGAGGATAACAAAGCCACCGGTTCCGTACAGGTGAAGGGTTCTGAACAGGAAGCAGAAAGGAGAAGAGACCGCCAGTTGCCGGTAGGAAGGTGGGAAAGAGGCCGTTAAGGGAGTGGCAGTGGTGGTGGTGGCAGGTTTACAGGCTGGCCTTGACAGGGGAAAAAAAAAATGCAGTAATGATTCTCCTTCCGATTCGGCGATCAATCTTGTCGTTTTGCGCCAGCTCAGCAGTTCCGTGCGGCCGTTCTTTTTTTTTTTTTTTTTGTTAAAAGAAACTTTCCGATTCGGCGAATCAAATCTTGTCGTGTTTGCGCCAGCTCAGCAGTTCCGTGGGCCCGCGTTCTTATTTTCTTTTTTTTTTTTTTTTTGGTTAAAAGAAAAGAAATTATTAATTAGTAATAAAAATGGCATAAGAAGATGGTGTACAGGCTGGCATGGCTCAGTCAAAGTTGAAAGTCCATAAAACCTTACCCAACCAACCGTTACGATCTTTATCCAAAGATATTATTAAGATTGCTGTCCAAATTTTATCGTGATATAATTATGGTTATCAGGGTTCTGTTTGTCTCTATAACTTCCAAAACAGTAAGGAACAATTATGGAAATTTTATCTTCTACTGCTAGTATTCAAATTCTAGTTCCTATTTCTTACTCTGTTTTAAGGTGCGTGTTCTCACTCTCCCTCTCCTTTTCCTCGTCTATCTCAATATTAATAATACTATAAACTTTCAGTTGCCTAATTAATTAATTAATTAACTAAACTAATAAGTTCCAACTTCCCTTGCAAGGAAAAATAAGCAGTAGCTGCTATTAATTGACTAATTCACTAACTAACTTTCACTTTCCTGTTAACTAATATTGATAAAAATAAAAAAATCATTATTTTCTGTTATTTTATTTATATCCAATAGCATAATTATATTCTGCGGTAAAATTCACAAAAAAAAAAGTAGTTCAAAATTGCACTATAAAATTAGCTAATGAATAATAGTGTAATCTATCGCAATTAAATATATTTTAAATATTATATCATTATTAAAATGTATATAATTGCATTATATCACATTATATTTTATGCAATTCAATAAATAGAAAATGAAAGTTAATTTACGATTTTAATACAAGAGCAATTTTTATTCATTCTTAGCAAGTTTAAATTTTAATTTTCGGTACATGTATTACATATTTAGACTCAATAGTATTCAGATAAAACATTTCTAACAATGATTATTTAGATTTGAAAAATTTTAATTTTTATTAATAAAATTAACTCGATGATACAGTCTATTTTAATTTCACTGCATAAAATTTTAGAAGCATTTTTAATAATGGTAATTTCAAAATTTGAACTGTGATGAAATAAAATTTCGTTGATTTAATATGAGCAACCAATAATAAAAAGAACAAAGAAAAAACCGCTCCCAACCAAAAAAAAATTAAGGCAAAAAACCACCGCTTTAATATCATTAGAGAGAGAGAGAGAGAGAGAGAGATAGAGAGTGGGAGAGACGCTCCTCAACGAGAGAGAGAGAGAGAGAGAGAGAGGAGAGAGAGAGGAGAGAGAGAGAGAGAGAGAGATAGAGAGTGGGAGAGACGCTCCTCAACGAGAGAGAGAGAGAGAGAGAGAGAGAGAGAGAGAGAGAGTCCACTGCTTAAAATTAAAAAAAAAAAGTCCACAGAAAGAAAAGCAAATCGGAGATGTTAAGAGAGCGACTTATGTAAATCAGTGCTAATAAGATGTGACGCGTGTCCGTTTGCCAGCTGTATTCCTTAACCCAACCGCTTCCCTCGAAACATCGGTGCTCCATAACTCCTCTTCACCGGCTCTTTCGGTTCCCCATCTCCTTCCCTTATATATGTCTCTCTCTCTTATAAATCTTCTCCATTCCCCTCTCTCCCTCTCGTCACGCCTTCTCTCTCTCCACAGAACCTCCATTTTTATGATCTTAAGGACCGTCTCTCTATCTAATTCTATGGCGGTTACTAATAAAGATGTCGATCGGATCAAAGGCCCATGGAGCCCCGAGGAAGACGATGCTTTACAAAAGCTTGTTCAAAAGCATGGACCGAGAAACTGGTCTTTGATCAGTAAATCTATTCCCGGTAGGTCCGGTAAGTCCTGTCGGCTGCGGTGGTGCAACCAGCTCTCGCCGCAGGTTGAGCACCGGGCGTTTACGCCGGAAGAGGATGAGACTATAATTCGTGCTCATGCTCGCTTTGGTAACAAGTGGGCCACCATAGCACGGCTTCTTAACGGCCGGACCGATAACGCTATTAAGAACCACTGGAACTCGACGCTGAAGAGAAAGTGCTCGTCTATGGCGGAAGATGGTGGTGCGTTTGATGGCAATTGTCAGCCGTTAAAGAGATCGGTGAGTGCGGGTTCTGGTATGGCTGTGTCTACAGGGCTTTATATGAGCCCTGGTAGTCCATCTGGATCTGACGTAAGCGATTCAAGTGTTCCTGTTTTATCTTCCTCGCATGTGTATAGACCTGTAGCTAGAACTGGAGCTGTTATTCCTCCTGTGGAAACGACATCGTCTTCTAATAACAACGACCCACCCACCTCGCTCTGTTTATCGCTTCCCGGCGTTGACTCTTCTGAGGTGTCAAACCGAGTAGCTGAGTCAACTCAAGCGACAAACACAATATCCTTGATGCCGCCAATGAATAACGTTTCATCTCCTCCACCTGCACGGCCGCCACCGGCTGCATCTGTGCAACCACAGCAGGGGGCGGTGAATGGTGGCTTAGGAACAGGGTTTGTAGGGTTTACTGCAGAGTTTATGGCGGTGATGCAAGAGATGATTAGGATGGAGGTAAGGAATTATATGATTGAGAAGGCAGGCGGAGGAAGCGGTGGCGCTAATGTTGGAATGTGTTTTCAGGCGGCGGGCGGAGAAGGTTTTAGAAATGTGGCAATGAATAGGGTTGGGGTTAGTAAGATCGAGTAGTTACTAGTTACTGCGAGTAGTAAGTGAGAATGAGTCGGTGAAAATTGAACAGAGTAGAGAGAGAGAGAGAGAGAGAGAGAGAGAGAGAGAGAGAGAGAGAGAGAGAGAGAGAGAGAACTGGGCTTTGTTTTTTTTCTCTTTGTTTAGGGAATAATTTTGGGCATTGTACAGAGAAAAAGAGAGAAATGGGTAAAAATGAAGAATGTTTTGACAGACGGAAAAAAAACATGGATATGGAAGTTTGATTTTGATGAAGACGAGAATGAGAAAGTTTGGAACTTTACCCATTTCTGGCCCTGGCTCTTCTCAGGCAACTAAAACTTGGAACAAAAGAATATGAATCAAAAAGGAAAATTGTAAAAAAAAAAAAAAAAAAAAAAAAAAAAAAAAAAAAAATGAAGTCTTTGAAATTTTAGTAGTAGTTCCTTATTTCTTTAATTCAAAAAAAAAAAAAAAAAAAAAAAATGAAGTCTTGAAATTTTAGTAGTAGTTCCTTATTTCTTAATTCTCATTATGAAATGTGTTTTGGGCTTCTGTTTTTCTGGGAACTTTTTGGCACTATGAACTGGTAATTGTAAAATGGTAATGGTTGTGTCGTTTTCCTTTTTGAGTTAAAAAACAAGGAGGGGCTATGTTATTCACGTTAAACATGGTTTTCACGCTTACAGAGCAAACACCAAATTATAGTTGATCTACAAACAGTAATATTGATGTTAGGATTTTTGTGGTAATTAATATGACTTATGAGGGTGCAAGTTCAAAAGCAGCATAACTGCAAATCTCGCTGCTTATGGCTGCCGGACATTAATAATTAATAAAAGGAGTCAACTTTGTTCTGTTATGCTTTTTCTTATCAACCTGTTCTGACTGGCTAACTGTGTTATTAGTGGGATTATTCTTCTTGAGCTTTCGAGTTGATCCGGCGGGAATCAGAACCGATTTCATCAATTTTGGAACTGTGTTACCAACGGTTTTAAGAATCTATTAGAATTGACTTTTTTTTTAGCTGGTTAGAACCAGCGGTTAGAATTAGCGGTTTCAGTCAATTCTAATAGAGCTTTTTTTTTTTTTCCTTTTTTATAAATTTTCAAATAGTTTTGTGAAATTTCGGAATTACCTATCTTAATAATTATAAACGACTATATAACGGTTAGTTTTAAGAGTGTTTGTGAAAATATGATTTTTGAATTTATTATAAATGCTTATTTTCATTTATAATTCCGCTACACAAAATTATCTCTACTCTTTATTATTTTCTACTTTACAATCTCTTCAATTTTCATTTACAAATTATTGTTTAAAATATTACAAAATAATTTCTTCAAAGTCCAATATTTAATTTTTTGTATAAATTATTGTCAATTAATTTCTTCAAATTCCAATTGTAATTATTCTCTTTAATTTCTTCAAAGTCCAGTCTCCAATTATCTATTCAAATTATAGTCAATTAATTCTTCAAATTATCCAATTTTTTCAAACAAAAAATAAATTAAGTTGAAGACTTTTTTTTTAAAAAAATAAATTAAATTCAAGCCTTTTTTTAAAAAAATTAAGCTCAAGTGTTTTAAATTTTTTTAAGGGTATTTTTTTCTTTAGAAATCATTTCACAAATTTTTAAAATTTAAATTTTAAAAAAATAATGTTCACTAATTTTTTATTTTACAATTATGCGATTCACCAAAAAATCGATTGGAACCATCGATTTTAGAACTGTTAAGAAACTGAAATCAGATTCGTAATCGTTCGGTTCTAAACTGTAATTGAAAAAATCAATTTTCAGTTCGATTTTAAAATCGAAACCGAACCGCAACCGGCGGTTCTTAGAACCGCAGCAATCCTTTCACATAATTGGGCTCTTGGACATATAAACCAAATATAAAAATCCAATTCTCTCGGGCTTTTTTTTTTTTTTTATGGGTTGAATTTTTGGAGCGAATTGCAATAGAGCGGAATGTTCCTGTTATGATAGATAGGGAGACTTTTTAAGGAAAAAAATATAAATTTCAAAACGGTTAGTATTAAAATTTTCATTATTATTATATGAGAAAGGAAAAATAAAACGCAATAATAAATAGTATAATTTCAAAGATTAATTTTTTTAGATTTATACAACTCAAAATTGTAATACGAATGTGTAGTTAGAATCACGGCAAAACCTAGGCAAGGTAGGGGTGGGTTAAGAGAAACATAACCTTCGAGGCTTATCCATTCGTCCAGGTAAAAATCCTGTCTTCTTTACTATTTCTAAGAAGCCATTAGAAACTCTTATGGCTTCCTTGTCTTTTTTCTTTCTTTTTTTGGACCCTCCTAACACCTCTGGACATACGAAAGGGGGTAAAAGCATCAAATAAGGTGCCAAATAACAGCCACAGTGGAAGTTAAAACATTGCATTAAAAATTACTGTGAAAAAATATTTCATGAGTATTTCCCGCTCCAAGTACCTCAGAGGTTCAAAAAAATGTGTTCTTCATTAAAATAAATAAAAAAAAAAACTTTTATTCGGTTGTTAGGAGAGCTCTTTACAATTTTGGGGGAAATTTTGGAGAAAAAAAGACTTGTCAGTTGTCGTGTATTCACCATTTCTTAATCTTTCTCTTTACACAAAGATCTAAAAATCAGAAATGAGCTGCACAAAATTTAACTTTGGAAGGATATTTCCTGTTTCTAAGTGGGGAAGAAAAGACCAAAATATACAACAGAGCGAGGGCTATAAAGATGCAGCCTGCATGTTGCTTGAGCTTGTGCCTTCTTTCTCCAACGATATCTGTTTAGATTTGAGTTCTTTTACAGAATGCCATAAGTCCTCCCTCCATGACCACTTGGGGTCATTTAGAGCTCGTATAGAATTGAGGCAAACGAGAAGCGTACCACCTTCGTGCAAAAGAACCTATTCATTTACAAATGAAAATTGATCATGAGCTACAAATTTGAAACTGAAACAAAAGAAATCAATTTACCAAGAAATCTTCTATTAACTAATATCTATTAAAATATTTTCAAGTAGTATCTGGTTAGCTAATGTTGCTCGATGTCTATTAACACATCTTTGATATCGAAAAGGCTTAAGAATATCAACCCTCTACGATAAAGTAATGGGAAGTGAAGAAGTTATAAAAACTGGATTTATACCGTCAACCACAGGGGAAGAAAGCCCAAAACAGATGGAAAAGAGGCCAGAACTATACAAGTCAAGGCAAGGGCCACATTTTGCTTGACCTGCATCATTAATACAGTGTATGTCAGAAAGAATCATCAACTTGATCTCGAGAATCCAGTGTATGTCAGAAAAAATCTAAAAAGTACCAGTGAAGTTGTTTGGCGGGACTTGGCAATACAGAATGGAACACTGGATATTGTGTCCCGCAGCAACAGGACATCTGCAACAGCAATTGCAGTTGCACTTGCGCGTTGTGCAAGAACAATCCCTACAGTTGCAGCAGCGAGTGCTGGTGCATCATTGATACCTTCACCTACCATAATCAGACCTCCCCCTGTAACAAATCCCCAAATCTGTTCATCTCACCATAGTAGGTCAGAAAGTAAGACACAAAATTTCACAAGAATAACTTGAGCAGCTTGCAACTGCAGATCATTCCAGGAAAGATGTTGCTTGACATCATATCTATGAAGGAAAAACGAACAAGAAAATATTGTTGATTCAAATACCGATGCAAAATTTTTTGAGCTTTTTGTCACTCTACCTCAGGAAGAGTGTAGACAAGGAGATATTTAAAGTACTTGTCAAAAAAAAAACAGTGGCAAATAATGTGTGTGATTATACATATCCTGTATATTTTTATAATAGCATTTAGGCATTGTATAAGAATTTCATGATGAATGGGGGGAGCCAAGTACTAGTAATATCTTCATTTCTAGGTTAGGTTATCATGTAAAATACAAGCTAGCTAAGCATGGATGTCAATATACTGGAACAAATCTACTGAAGGAGATCAACCTAATCAAATTGACAACTAGTCCTTGTGCTACCAAAATCTAAGACATATGTATTAATGTGATAATGAAAAAATTTATTGTGGAGCTCACCCATATCCCTCGAGATACCCTTCACATGATTGAGCTTGTCCTCAGGCTTCAGGCTGCAGTGAACTTCAGTGATACCCACAGCTTTTGCAACTCTCCATGCACTTGATTCATGATCACCAGTTAGCATCATAACACGGAGCCTTGCTTGATCCTGTAATTCTGCAATGACATCTGAAACCCCTGGTCGAGGTCTATCCTCTAGGTGAATCAATGTTACCTGCATAGGGAGTTATTATGTAAAAACACGAAATCATGGCTGAACCACAGTCAGCCCACTGCCCTTTTTGGTGCTACTGTTTTATAGAGGCAAAGAAAATCAAGAGATGGAAAAGAATGATGTACACTGTGATTGATAAATCATATATATTACAACCTTATGGGTTATGGCATAAAACTATGATCATGTATATATGACTCGTGAATTTTTTTTTTTTTTTTTTTTTTTTTTCTTATGGGTTATGGCACTAAAACTATGATCATGTATTTATGACTGCGTGAATTTTTTTTTTTTTTTGTTTTTTTTTTGGGGGGGGGGGGGGGGGGGTGTGGTTAAAGAGGAAATAGCTTCAACGGGGGGGGGGGGGGGGTGTGGTTAAAGGAGGAAATAGCTTCAACTAATTCCTATTTGTTTTCTGCGTCTGTGACAAAAAAAAATAAAGAAAGGAATAGTTGACCAGAGTGCACTATAGTAGGCCGCTCCCTCAATATATCAGGAATAAGTTTCTGCATGGGGCCACAGGAATTAGCAGACGAAGTGATCAACTACTACAGGAAATGCAAGGAATCCTTTGGACTGTGAGGAAATAAAAACAATTAAAGAGTGCAGAGAGAATGCATGTTGGATATTCTAATATTCCAATTTCTGTTTTGCAGATCAAGAGATTGCTTCAAGTTTATGGTTTAAGAGCTGAATAAGTACAAAGACAAACCAACAATTGGTAACGATGCCTTCTTTATCTCACATACACCTAGGTGTTTGTCCTTGGTTATTGGTTATGGGAACAACTGGAATTAGCACTAACAGAACTTGAAGTGCGGCAATATCATGCCCTTAGAACTGTTAACAGTAATTTCAGCTAATGGTTAGGATGATAATGATAAATGACCCAAACTGAGCTCCCGTTTGATTTGCCGGCGGGAAAAGTTCAGGTTAGAATTTAAGTTGCAACTAATATGGACATTCAGCATGAAATTGACCTCATTTCCAATTCCATTCTCACTAAAAATCATGTGCATAACTAAATCTATTGGATGACAGCTTACCTTTTCATCTACAGAAAGGGCAGCATGAACCAAGTCACTTCCATAAGAAGATGCATTAACTGCTTCCTTGATCTTTCTTGACTCAGCTTCAGATTTGCAACGTGAAGTGATGAACTCTACAGATCCAAGTGATGCCTTCAACAACTTGATGCTCCCAGCTCCTGACTATAAAAATAAAAAACTTGAGCTAATGCTGCAAGTGATAAAGATCAACCTTCTAGCAAATTACAGAATGAATAATGGACAAGAAGCTTCTTCAGAAACATTTAAATCCAGAAAAACAGATGAATCCTTTACTTTCTCATTAAAATTATTTTTTGAAACAAAGTACCTCCATGTTGTTCAGAGTTGCAGTAAGACCTCTGCCGGGAAAGTACTCAAAATTTTCTACAGAAACACAAGGTAGGTCTTTGCCTATACTATGATCCACAACAGCTCTGCAAAAAGCAGAAGAATGACTGTAAGTAAACGACAAATAGTTGACATTTAAGAGAATCAAACATTTTAGATGGTTAACAAATAAAACTTCAGTGATAAATTACGAAAATATAACTAATTCCAAATACAGCCAACACAGTCATGTCTCGCATCAATTAGAGACTGAAATTAAAACCTTTGCCTCTCGAGGTTCTATAGACAAGAGGGCTTGTTGAATCAATTGCAAGCACTGTAATATCTGAATTGCATTCTGAATGAAACTATATGATCTCTAAGAAGTATATACCCCACACCGGAGTAGCCTTGACTAAATAAGAACCTCTTTAATTCATTACATACTGAAATACAAAAAGAACTTCGCTCATGAACACCCAATTGTACAAAAATCACCAACTTCTTAGAGGGCAAAATACAATAAGCTGGCACGTGAGATGGATAGGGTAAAGATACCTAACAATGTTTCCCCTTTGTTGTGCCTAGATGTGTGAGCCCAATAGATAGATGAATTGCAGCTAAAAGCTGCTGTGGCCCAAGTTGTAAAAGCTCAACTTAGAATCCAATGTCAGAAAAATAATCCTAATTGATCACATCGAAAAGCAATGAACCAGTAATGTACATATTCAACAAGTTTACCTTCCAATAGGATGAGTGGTACCCTTTTCCATGGCAGCTGCTACAGCAAGAGCTTCTTTTTCACAGTTGGGAGTACAACAAGAAGTGACATCTGCATGCTTTTTTCCAACCTTATGTCCATAAATTGGTTCAATTGCTTTAAACATAAGCCCTCCAGTTGTCAAGGTCCCAGTTTTGTCAAATGCAATCGTGTGGCAGGAAGCTAGAGCATCTAAAACTTGGCCTCCTTTAAGCAATATTCCCTTTAGACAAAGATTACCATACAAGAGGTTTTCAGTTCTACTTTAGCTTCAAAACAAGAAAAAAAAAGTCTTTGCTACCATTTTATTTTTTTAAAAGACAATTTCTTTTCTTCCACTTTTCAGATAAGGTAGTCCTTTGTGCTTTGGTTATTTCATAAAATAAATGCATAGAACCTAGTTTTATCTTTATATAAGATACTGATGATTCATGAAGAATGAGTCCTAGCATGGTCTTATTCCAGTAAACCGACACAAAAATTTAAAAACACAAACAGAATAACATAGAATAAGAAACTCCAACTTAGTTACCAAATGGTTACATAGTTAACAGTATCAGGAGAATAATACTTGTACAGATTCAGCTTTTGAAGATAGTCTTTCTTCATATTTTTTTAAATTTCAATATGTGATTTAAGTACTTAAGGATAAGTACCTTTCTAGCACAAGAACTAATAGCAGTGGCATATGCCAATGGAGCTACAGCCAAGGCACATGGTGATGCCGCCACCATCAGTCCTAGCGCTCTGTATATTGATCCTCTGCAGACTGCATCGTTATCCAAGCACCAGAAAAGACAGAAGTAAGAATATTTTCATATTGAACATTGCATTAGATATTCATTGAAGAATTCAATCTAGAGAGAGAGAGAGAGAACTATATATGCAAGGATCAAGCCAGAAATACACAACTGATAAATAAAAAAAGCAGTGCCAAAAAGGAACGACTTGGCAGTTTCAAACTAGACATAGAGAAAATCAGAAGAATTTTGCCCACCCCGCAAACGTTTGAATCAGCAATCTTTTTTGGATTATAAAGCAGAATGCTTTTAGATAAAGCAGAATGGCCAAAAGGGGCTCTGCTAACCATGTTGCATTTTCTTCGTTTGGCAGGAAAACAAGATTTCCTTTGTCTTAGCTATATATATTGAGAAACTTAAACTGCAAGATCATGTCTCTATATTCAATAAGTTATCCTCTAGCAAATTTGGAATACTCAGGAAGTAAAACTCAACAGATTTTATATGGAAAAAGATAGAACAAGTAACTACAAAGAATCATCTATTCACATCTACGTATCATCTCACGAGTAGACAAACTACCATAAGTACATCAAGGCCCCATAAAGATCAGTAGTAGTATGTGCAAAGCATACATAACAATCAGTTGCTATCATAAGAATTATGCATTTGAGAACATCATCAAGAGCATAAGGAACTTCAAGAGAAGCAGTAAGATTGATTATCAAAGAGCATTACTAAAACTATTAAATCATCATCCAAGTTACCTGATGTGCTAATGAATGGCCACTTAAAAATAAATGGCCCAAGCAGAGCAACAGCAACGGACAAGCCCACAACCACTTTGCTATAACGCTCGCCAAATTCATCCAGCCACCTTTGAAGCTTTGGTTTATTTAGTTGTGCTTCTTCTGTTAATTCTACTATCCTGTTCAATGTTGACTCTTTCCACATCTTGGTGGCCTGAATCAAATTCAGAAGAAATAAAAAAAATAATAATAGTCAATAAAGCAGCACAATAGAGAACATAAGTCATATGTGAAAAATAAAAGTATATTGAAACAAGTAATTAAAACTTCATTCAGAACTCTACACTGAATATAGAAAGTTTTTTTCAGAATAGAACAATGCCGAGAAAACAAGAAAAGGAATGCCAACTTCCTTTTGTCACAAACTTCTAAAATAATTTAATCACAAGAAAATTGATAACACACCTTTACAATCATTCTACCATCCACATTCCTTGCACCACCAGGTACTCTGTCTCCAACTTTTGCCTCCATAGGTTTGATTTCACCAGTCAAATGCTCAATAGTAATTGTTGCACTGCCTTGGAAAACTTCACAATCGACAGGCACGGCCTAAACATGATAATAGCCCCAGTTATGAAACTAGTGGTTCAGCGATTTCACATTTTTTACTGTCATACCATGAATTAACCTGTGAAGGCAATGGAATATATCCTAGTTGGAAGTATGGTGATGCTAAAGAACTCAGTTACTAGAACTAATAAAATCTAGTGACTTGCTCTAAGAAGTCACAGCTTCATGAATACTCAGGCACAGGCCTGCAGTATAGAAGTGACAATGCAGTCTCAATAGCTTGATAATCAAGGACAAGTACAGTCAACAGTGATGATTCATTATCTCTTTATCTCGCTGAAATCTCAATAATATCAGGAATGTTGCAACTAAAATCAAGCATTCTCTTAAAAATAAGATTACAACTTTGACATCACAGACCTCACCAGTTCCGACCAAAATATATGAGCCCACTTTTACATCATGCACCGGGACACTTTTGTACGACAAATCAGAGAGGTCCAGTTGTTTCTCATCATTAACATCCAGCACAAGAGCAGAAGCTGGATGATTTTCCTTCAACTCCTTAACATCCACCATTGAGCGGCTTGTGAAAAACTCTTCAGCTGCAATAAAAAGAGTGTGATTATGTAATTTAGTGCGGCAATAAAAGTAACTGTTGCTGATACACTAGCTTCAAATATTCACCTATATGAGCCAGATTGAACATTGCGAGAAGTAATCCTCCTTCCAAGGCATTGCCCATAAATAATGATGCAAATGCTGCAAGGGCCATCAACACGTGAATATTTACCTTCCCACCAGTAACATCAATAAGAGCATCAAAAGATGCTGAGACCTGACATGCAGAGTGGCATATGGTTTTACATATTAGTTAGCAAAAAGTTTGAAATAATTTTTATGAAATGATAAAAAGCCCATCCTTGTGCAGTGGTTAAGGGTCGAAGAAACTAGGTTCACAAAAAAAATAAACAGTTATTTTCCCCTACCTAAATTGCTGTATCTGAAAATGATGGCAAAGGGATATCAGCAATAGGCACATATATACACCCCATAATGTCCAAATAGTAAAACAAATAAGGATCAGTTCTGTTTGCAATGGAATAGGAACAATCTGATATCACAAACATCCCATTCCGAGGTTTTGATTCCAATTCATATTCAAGGTTATTATACACATTTTAATTCAAATGGCAATGAAATTCTACTTCAGTATTTGCGTTCGATTTCTATTTATAGAATAGCCAACCAAATAGACCCTGAGACTTTGAATCCTAATTCTGATCACTTAAAAAGAAAACGAGAGAAATCAAAATCGACTGAAATTACACAAGATGAATAGATAAATATATGACTTAGTACTGAAAAATTTACCCCAACTAGAGGGAAAGCGATAATCATGAAGGTATTTTGAAGAGGCTTGACTATTGGCTTGGGGATTAAGTAAGGACAAACAGCAGCTGCCACAAATAAGGCCGCGGAGCAACAAGTGAGCTGCAAATGCTCCCTCAACAAGTTGGCCAGGTCCATCCACCCCACCGCTTTTGCGAAGCTAATAAAACTTCTCTGAGCTCCACTCAGCTCGACGCCATCTCGATGATGATGATGATGATGATGATGATGATGATGGGAATGGTGATGTAGGTCATGGTCGTCGTCGTGGTGGTGGGGGTGATCGTCGTGCTGGTGGAGGTCATGATCTCGGTGATTTTTAGCTTCCGCCAAACAACGGAGCGTTTGGTAACGGGGATTGAAGGATTTGCGAGGAGGATATATGGATTTGAGGTGAAAACGGGAAGAAAGAGAAGTTCGGTGAAAGATAAGATTGACCGAGTTGACTCGCCTCCGTCTGGAGCGACTCAAGGGGAAGTCGGTCACGCCGATTGCGATTGCGTGACGGAGAGCGGCGGTTTCCATGTTAAATTTGGAATTTCAGCTGATTATCATCATCACCATAATCAACTGAGAAACTTTTGAGCAAAATATTCTTTGGTTTTTATTCAATTATAGAGACTAAATCAAAAATGTCGAGAGAGAGTGAACTGAGAGTGTGGCAATAGAACCAACACCATGTGCTCATGACCCGAGGCTTGTAATTGACCCGCACCATCATCAGCCACGCGAAATTAGAAGTTTTGGGCCCATCTAACTGCAACGGCATTTCAAACATTTTTTAAGTTACAGCCAGTAGATAAGCCCAGTGGCAGTAAACTCGACTACTGTAAACAAGTCAAGTTTTAATTTAAGTTGAACTATTACTATTAATATTCTTTCTTTTTTTATTGTTCAAAAAAATAATATTCTTTTTTTGGGAAAAAATTACTATTTTACTAGTTTGACTATTACTATTAGTAAAACCTGAAGTAGCCGGCGAAATCAGACTAAAAAGGTTGAAGAACCATGACGTGTGCGATGACAAAAAAATGCATGAGGACTGTACTGGTTGAACAATTGAAAATTTGATGGTTTTAGATTTTAGTAAGTAAATAATCTTTTTATATGATATTTCTTATCTTATATGTATAATTATTTTATACACCTTGCTTTTTCTCAATAAAAGAAGAAGTATTTTCAGTGCTTTTAAAATGGAATAGTATTCGCCATGCGGACTGGTGAAATCATTTGATTTGATAAAAAAAAAATAGACAAATAAAGTTCAAACTAAAAATCAATGATAATTTAAAGGTTTTAATTAAGAGGGCAAATAATGAAAGCAAAAGAATAAAAATTAAAATATTTGGTGACAGTGAATAAATTCTTAACCTAATGGTTAAGACGGAAGTCTTCATCACTAAATGTCATGAGTTTAATTCTTATTTTCACCGCCATTTATTATGTAATATTTTTAAATTTCTGCTTTCGTCCGATTAATGTAAATGTTCGATTATCCAACGCAGCCAGGACTATTTTAATAATTTGGCTTATCCACAGCAGCCTTTGTCTGTTTTATGCTCTGTACCGAAACATAGTATTATACACTTTTAACAGAAAACATATATGAATATTAAATAAGAATAGCATAGTAAAAAGGCCATGATCATGAACTCTGTTTCGGATATAAATACCCCAAAAAGAAGCATCCATAAGTATATTAGATGGTACTTTCTCATCATTGCAGTCCATTTAAGTGAAGAAAACAGAAATGGAGGGGAGAAGAGTCATTGGTTGGGCGGCAAGAGATTCATCAGGATATCTTTCACCTTACTCATTCACTCTTAGGTCAGTTTTATGAAGTTATGATCTCTCTATCTCTCTCTTCGTCTGCTTTTCTACTGATGATCTATCTCTTAATTAATTTTCCCCATGAACAGGAAAACAGGGGCAGAAGATGTGGTGTTGAAGGTTTTGTATTCTGGGGTAGACCATACTGATCTTCATCAGGCAAGGGGCGAGCTTTACCAAACAAGCTACCCTTTAGTCCCAGGGTATATATCTTAAATATTAAAAATACGTAGGTGTATATTTTAAAATTCTATTGAACTTTTTGTTGCTTGTTTGATTTATTTGAAGGCATGAAGTGGTAGGAGAAGTTGTAGAACTAGGACCAGAAGTAAGGAAATTGAAAGTCGGAGATATTGTAGGAGTTGGGTGCATAATTTGGTCTTGTGGGGAATGCTTGACCTGCAAGTCCAAGATGGAGCAATATTGCAACGAAAGGATTTTTACTTACAATGCCATAGACAAAGATGGGAGAATCACTCAGGGGGGCTACTCTTCTGCTATGGTTGTCAATCAGAGGTGAGTAAGTCCAGCAAACGAGTTGATTTGTTCATCGCCTCTACAAAATTGAATTTCTGGAAGTAAAATAAACAGTTCCATTCATACTAAATGGAAAATATGAAATTTAAAATAATTTTCCTAACCAAACAAAGGTTTAAAGCTTTTATTAAGTTTAAACCTAATTTGGGGACAAATAATGCAGGTTTGTCGTTAGAATACCAGACAAGCTTGCACCAGAGCAAGCAGCCCCACTATTGTGTGCTGGAGTGACAGCCTATAGTCCCTTGAAACAGTTCAAAGGGTCTAATAAGGCTTTGAATGCAGGTGTTCTGGGTCTAGGTGGTGTTGGTCATTTAGGTGTGCTTATTGCCAAGGCAATGGGGCATCATGTGACTGTGATAAGCTCTTCAGAGAAAAAGAAGGAAGAGGCTTTAGAGCATTTAGGTGCTGATGCTTTTCTGGTGAGCTCCGAGGCAGGCGAAATGGAGAAGGCTGCGAACAGCCTTGATTACATCCTTGATACTGTACCTGCTGTGCATCCTTTGGACTTCTACATTTCACTTCTCAAGTTTGACGGGAAGCTTATTATAGTAGGGGCTGCTCCAAAACCACTGCAGTTTGTTGCTACTAACTTAAGTACAGGTATGTCACTCTCATTCGTACCTGTTTTTTAACACTGAAATGCTTGTAACTAAGTCTTCATTTTTGTGTCACCATCTAGGGAAGAAAAATATATCAGGGAGCTTCGTTGGAAGCATAGAAGATATGCAGGAACTACTGGAATTTTGGGTAGAGAACAGTTTGTCATCAATGATTGAGTTAGTAAAGGTGGATTATGTGAACAAGGCATTTGAGAGAATGGAAAGGAATGACGTGAGGTATAGGTTCGTGCTTGATGTGGCAGGAAGCAAGCTCGAATGAAGCAGATATTGATAACAGCAATAAGGATGATAATAATGTCATCCCTTCTTAAGCTCTAAAACTGAAATAAAGGTTTTACCCTCAGAAATCAGAATCCTGATAATAATATCATCAAACGCCTGCGGGGCAAAAGCTGAATGTATTTTCTCCTCTCTATGAAATGAATAGCATTAAATACAATATCAACAATATTGATTTCCGATTTATTCATGCAAACCAACTACCCAAGTTAATCAGCTGAAATATAAGCAGATACTAATGTCTAATGATACTATCAATTCTTCAACTTTGCAGATGCGTAGAATACATTTTTTCGAATTATGTAGCGCATTTTACATCAGTGTTAAGTATATCGTTTCGTGCACATTTCAATCAGCTAAATGAAGTTAAGCCTTACAAGTTATTTTAAATAAGAATAAGATCCCTCATAACTGCACATACCCTCATTAAAATTGCTAAAAATCCCTTCCCTGAAGTTGAAAAGAATAACCAATGCTATTGTTACAACAACAATTAGATGTTTTACCTCCCTGTTGAGTTAAATCAGCAGATGACAAGGCAAATGATCTGCCACAGCATTTTTCACCTACTGATGATAGGAGGAATAACAGATAAGGTAGAGCACTTGGGCAACTGCTCACTCATCTTTTCCTTTGCCTTTGCCTTCAGAACCTTTAGATCCATCATATGCTGAAAGGAAGAAAGTACTTTGATTTTTCTGCAGAAATCTGCAAGGCATCAAAGAGATTACCAATTTAGATTGGACAACAGAAGCATCTATTTAGAAGAAAAACAACTTATTTGTCCCAGAATTTTGTTTTGTAGATTATTGCCATGATGGAAATTTCTAAGAGATTTTTGTGAGAGGATGTTTAATAAACAGACTACCACTTGATGATTACTAGAGTGTAGAACACATCTATATTAACTCATTCCATGGAAGAATCACCTCAGCTTTTTAAAACTAAAACTCACTTTCAGTTTATAGCACTCGTGATTTCATGAGCTCGAGGAGACCGATCTAAGATGTCAGCCATGTAAACCATTACATAACCAATATATTCTTTTAGTTTGACAAACTTTCAGTTTCAGGCATTCAAGTCAATATAGAGATGAGTGGGTGAACATGCATATAATCAGAACTTCTTAGCATTGAGTTTTATCTAAAAAAAAAATTAAAAGCTAACTGAATGTGTAAGCAATGAGCCTATACTTGAGAAAGTCGAGCAATTTCTGCTGCATGCGCGTTAATGTCTCCTCTTCAATGTTAACATATGCCAATAGCTCAGGTAACTTGACTGCAGGGGAAAAAAAAGAAGCTAAATAAATATGAGAAACACTACACAATTTGCAAAAGTATGTGAAGATAATATTTCTGAGCTAACTATAATCAGGAAAATCTTTATTGAGAAACATTTTATACCATCTCAATTTTCTCATTTGAAAATGCATCATTTTGTTATTCATACTCCTTACACATCCATGAATTGTTAGTGCCGAGGGTAAACACAACACTATTTTAGCATCACATCAAGCAATACAAAAAATTGGTATAAAATGTGGCGAACAAGTTGAACACTCCTCTTTAAGGACAACTATATATTTTCTGCATGTAACTAATTCTATACAATATATTGAATCTAAAATTTATTACTAAAAGAAGCAGATCATCTACTGTCAACGATACGAATAAAAATATGGAAGACTGCTCATGTACCCACAGGAAATTGTGGAATACAACACACCAACTCATGAAGGCTATTACTACTGACCCCATGGTTGGATTCTTGGCTTGTAGTGTATTTAGTTAGGCTTCCAAAATTCTGCATCCCCATCTTTTAAAAACCAAAAACAAATAACAATTCTAATAATAAAGAGAGGGAGCGAGTCAGAGGAGGCAGTTATGAGGAGAGAGATTCCACAATCAACAAATAAGTTAATTGCTACCTGAGTTCTACTACCCACATGCAACTTCATTAAAATGGAAAATCAATTTCTTTAACATTGTTCAACATTAGAATAATCATCTACCAATGTGAGACTGTCAAATCTGTAGTTCAAGCCAGGAAGGATTTTCTTACACACCTAAGAAAAACCCTTTTCCAAAATGGATTTTCTAGTAAAAAGGAGCATTCAAATTGTGTTTCAAGAAGGAAAAGACTGATAATATGATTGCATTGCAAAAGGCAATAAAAATGGATATCAACTGTTGCACAAAACTGAAAGGTTTGAGGTAGATACTAATGCTTCTCAAAAGCCAGAAATGATAGAAGTTGACTCCAGAAATAGCAAAATACATCATTGTGATAAATTTAACAATTGACCAGTTTAATTTTCATCAAACAAAACCAGCCAAAAGAATTCTTAAGAAACTTGATTGAACTGTTACTCTCCCTTGTTCAAAAAAACAAAAGCATAACATCAGAGTTATGAGAATACCAAAGAGACGCAGCAAATGTTCAGCACCGTATATAGTTGATGGAGACGTGTCATTTTCAACAGAACTGTAATATTGTTGCCGCTCTTTCTTGTATAGAAGCATTACTGGTAATGCCTTGTCAAAGTAACAACGTATCCCTTTCAAAATTTCTCCTATCGAATCAGTCATCCTGTGTCAAGAAAAGAATAGTCCACACCACAATTATCAGTGCAAACTAAGGCATTTCCAAACCCACATCTTAAACAAGCATGAGAAATAGCTCTAAGTGAATTAGTTGCAAACATAAAAAATAAAAATAAAAATAAAAATAAAAAAAAGAGAGAGAGAGAGAGAGAGAGAGAGAGAGAGAGAGAGAGAAATTAAAACTGGCCAATATGCATGTGCAAACCAAGAATATAAGAAAGCCTTTTATACTTTTCTTTTAGAAGCATGTTTTTACATCCATTTACATGTGCAAAATTCCAAATATGGACAAAATTTAGAATTTAAAAGTCCAATACATGCTAATCTTATCATCAATCTAAAACAACCATTGCATTGAAATGTGGGGAATATTCTATCGAAGTATTCATAGGAAATTTTATATTCAAAATAAATGAACTATCCGACAATTGAATTGAAACGTGGGGAAGTCAAAAAAACCATATATTCAAGAATGGGTCACACCAGGATTTTGGCATATTCAGATGTAAATTTATAAAAATAGTTGCATAGGCTCAGAAGCACAAGTGCCAGGACATGAATTCAATTACAGTTGATTCATGCAATTTCAACAGGAACTAAAATAGAACTTACATGCCATCCTTTTTAGACCTGTATTCCAGGTACTTTGTCAATATTTCATCCACATTCGGTGATCGTGGAAGTTTAACAAGCTGCAACCAAAAAACAAATCCCATCAAATAGACTATATTATTATAAGAATATATACTCACAAAAACTCAAGTTATCATTTTTGCAAATCATTATTGCACTTTATCCTGAAAAAGGAAACATTATACAGATTTGTAGCATATAGCTTCCAATTTATATAATTCCATACACTTGCAGGAAAAAGAAACGGCATAAAGTGGGGACAATTCAGATTCTAACTTACAGAAAAATACGTGCACAATAATAATGTGTTGAAGAAGATCTATTGAATACAATCATGCTCCTGGAGGGCAACAGAAATTAATTTAAACATGAATAAAAAAAAAATTTGATAAGAGGGAAGTAAGTTGCTCAATTTTCGCTTGCAGATTGTGATACTTAACCAAAAAAATCAAAATCAAAACCTTTCTTTGTGAAATAACAAACTGTTTTCTGGCAAAAATCTCAAGTCGAAAGGATCTGAATGCAGTTTTATGCTGACCACGACATATCACAACCCTTCTGTTTTCTTCAGGATTGGCACTACTTAGGCTAAGGTTTATGAGTTTTTGTGTAGGTCATAGGCAGAACTCTCTCAAAACATATCTGGAACATTTCAATGACAAATTCCAAACCTTAGCCATAACATCCTACACAGTTTCCATTTTTGGTTTCTATCACTTGTCACACCAATTTTTTAATGAAAATTAGGGTACAAACACAATGTCAATCTTGATTTCTCATTGACTTTTCATACCAAGTTTCCAAATACTAGAGGAGAGGGAATGAAGGATTTATTCCCAGTGCCAGTGTCCCATTCTCAGTAATCAAAAGAGCATTATCATAGAGATATAGAACCAAACAGCAAGGATTATCAAGAAACAACAAATTAGCTGGGACTAAGGGTTGAGAGTTACAGATGTGCTGTCTGGTTGTTAATATCAAGTAAAGAAATAATTCATATCACCAAGACAGAAATTCAATAAAGTTAATTCTGTAACAAGCATCAAGTCATTGATTTCATGAATGTTGTTTCGCACATATTTATGACTTAATTACTTTAATAAGCATGAAATAACTCAAGTAGAAAGGCAATGGAAGAGTCATAAAGAATGGGGCTGAAATTTTCTCGGAGAAGGAGAGATGACCAAAGGGTTTCACAAGGTTTAAATATATAAAGCAGAAACAGCAGGAAAAGAGTTGTTTACTTACAGGTTAAGTATACGATAGTATTCTCCTTTCAGGTTGTATGCAGAGATGTAATCGTAGGAATAAGAAAAAGGTATTAAGTTGTATGAATGCAGTCATGCATCTTATGTCATGATATGAGTGCAATAGCAGTATTGAATAAAAGAGATTCTAAAAGTCCCTGATGTCATTGATATATACCTTATCCTGTTGGGTGACAAATTCCCAATCATCAACAAGTTGCTTCTTTAGTGTTGATGGAATTTGGATCTTGACAAGCTTTTCAGCAGATAAATTATCCTTCTAAAATTAACAATACAAAATAATCTTCATTAGATTTAGAAGAACACGAAAAAACATTTGAAATTCCGAAATGAAAGGTGTATAAGCCACAAGGTAAGCATGCGTGCAATGTTTAAGATCAAGAAAATATTGAATTGATGTTTCTTCTTATTTTGTTTCCATTTATGGTGGTGAATCTCAAATTTTATAGTTACTTTGAATTATGAATGTATTTTTTTGTTTTGTTGGCATAATGAAAATAAAAATAGAAACAAAAGTAGGTAAATCCGACAAGTATATATTTAAGTTGGCAGGGTGAGTACAGCTATTAGAAAACTAGCCACGAGCATCCCTAGTTGCATAAATATTTCAGATAGGTCTATCTGAAAGAAGTACAATACAGGAAAAATGAGGTATGCAACATAATAGCATGAGAACACCATTGCATCCTCCAAATAGTTCAAAACAGAAAAAGCAGTATGCTGGAAAACACACCTCAATCCCGGAGTCACTCTTCCGCTTCTTCCCTTTTCCCACTGCAAAAAACAAAAAATTTATGCTTTATAAACAAAATTCTTTGTCATTATAATTTTAGAAAGGATTGATAATAAACACTAGGAAATCATAAATATTAAAGATGCCTGCAAAGTATGTTAACCAGGAAAGATTTTAATGTATAAAATCCTAAATAACTCATATTTGTTGTTCCCTGTGAGATACTCATGTATGCCCCCATAAGTTGGGAAATCAAAATGACCTAAAAGTGCCACATGGTCGATTTAAGAGAATTGCATGTTAAACAATACAGTATAAGTTAGGAATCGATGGTGCTAAGATTCTCATGGGACCTTCACTATACAAATTAATGACCAAAACAAAACTAGAATTACTAACAATAAGAATTACAAGGACCACTTAAATATAATAGGACCTCATATAGAAAATAAAGATGATAAAGAATAGCAACTAAACTCAAGAAAGAAAATAAGGGAAAATGAAAAAACAGAACTTTTTGAAAATGACAGACCATTGTTTTTCTGGTCTTCTTTATCTGCTTTTGCATCTGGAAAATCAAAATGAGTAACGTTAATAAGACAGAATTATTTACCATCTCAACTAACACCAAGTACTTCCACAGTTCAGCAAACTTGACAAAGAAAACATTTCTAATTGAACACAACTAAATAACCATGATCCAAAATCAAGAAAAAGCACCAAGAGCTTTATAATGCAAAATAGATTATTTCAATTGACAAATAATAAAATTAAACTGGGAAATTATAAGTTAAAACAGTTAAAAATGCTAGCAACTTGTAATAATAAAGGCAGTTAAACTCTGAAAAAGATAGAAAACATAGTTAAAAATCATCAAAGGTTAGGCAATCAGAATATGCAAATCTCCAATTCACTAGCATGATTGACAAGCATATCAATGGTAATATTCCTGTCTTCCACAAATTACTGGACTTTGAGTGAATATCTCTAGAGGGAGACTCCACAAGATCATCAACCAAAGCAGATGTGTTTACTATAATGACCATGTTAAACATTCTGAAAGTGAATACATCTATAACTATGAACACTTTGATATATTAAGGATAAGGAAAATTACATCTCCGATTTTTTGCAAGTACAGCCAAAAAAGTCTGCAACCTATGTACATTCTCATATAAAAAAAAGGAGACAAGAATCACTGCAATGGAGAAATTGGGAGAGGCAAGGAGAGAGCGAACATGTACACTCATTGACCTGAGAATCAGTAAATTTATTCTCCCAGATAACACCGGAGGAAGAAAAGTTTCTCATTAAGCAAGTAACAAAGACACGGTAATGCAAAATGAATGGGATCAAGCAGAGACTGCCATTTGAGGTTGAAATACATAATTAGCAATTTTCGCATCACACTCAACTCAACTATTAAATAGATAAATATAAAGTGAAGCTAACCAGTAGAGCTTTTTGGCTTAGTCTGTGCTGAGCGTCCAAGCTTTGATGTCTTATCAACACCCTGTTTATTCTCGAGAGCCTGCTGTTTCATCACATTCTCTTCAGTATGCTTCAATAATCGATCTGGGCCTATCCATTCATCCCAACTGTTGGCAATATGTGCAAGCCACAGACATGATTATTGTATACCTTTCCAGAAAAGGGCATGCTTATTAATTAAAGAAAACTTCCCCAAACAAAATATAGAAGTTTTGGGCCACCCTTTGATTATAGTAAAATTGAACTTTTAAAATAGTTTAGTTGCTTCTAAAGAACGAGACTGTGAATACTGTACATAAATAAATAAATAAATAAATAGAAGAAGGCTTCAAATCAGAAATCTCATTCAATCCTTAACAGCTGGTCAACCAACTGACATACAAGAGGAGCATCGGAAACATTCTTTGGTGGTAGTCCTCATCTACTTGAACTTTTTTTTTTTTTTCTGAAGTTTCTTAGTTGTAGTAGGCAACATAAACTTCTTTGCCATTTCTTTTGCATTTAACTACCTAATTTCATTTAAGCGTTATAATTTTCAAATACAACAGGAGATTATCCCATTCAACATGGATTCTCAGATATCCAAATGTGTGTGTCCGACAACAGATGGTTAGTCTTATTCATAAGCCATATATAATCAAAGTAAGGGGACAACTGTTTCTTTGTTGATCGTAAAGAACTCTGACAACCATATATAAAAATAAGAAAAAATTTATAAATAAAAAAAATAAAAAATAAAAAAAACATTGATAGTACAAAAATAGAACATAGTACTTTTTCTTTCCATGTATTGTTATATTTGGTGATTTACTGAAGGCAGCAATATATGACACAGAATTGTCAATATGCAACTTTTTAAAGATTTTAAATACCATGATTTCATTCAATTATCTCAAAAGCTGCCTATGTATCCTATCTCCAGAATTATCCAATTTGAACCATTTTCCTTAATTCTTTCTTCTCCAAAAACATAGCAACTTTATATGCAGTTCTAATAAATACTATTTGGCACTAATGCAAGCATAACATGTGGCATATACAGCTAGCATATGCAAATGAGAACTTTAATATATTGGTTTGCAATCTCAAAAGTTTCTTTTTGACAATAAAAATTGTGAAAGCTAACCTAAAGACAAAACACAGAACTTATAATAAGACCTCTTTTGGCCAACCCTCAGAATAAATGCAAGAAATAGCATGACCTGTGGAATAAAAACCATTTTGCAGATGAGACTTGCAATTTTCATGAAAACAAGGTATTTTTTTAATGTTCAACCCCCCCCCCCCCCCCCCAATTTTCATGAAAAACAAGGTATTTTTAATGTTTTCAACCCCCCCCCCCCCCCCCCCCCCTTTTTATCTTTTTCTTTTTTCTTCCCCTCTCTCCTTTTCCCCCCCCCCCCCCCCCTTTTATCTTTTTCTTTTTCTTCCCCTCTCTCCTTTTCTCTTTATGTCATGCGGGCTGAGCAATACATAGCAGCTGTTGCACCACGTGTTAAAACTTTCTGATATTCTGTTACCCCTTCAGAAGGGAGTAGTTGTGAGTTTACCAAACACTGTAGAATTAGGGTGAAAACTTCCAGATGATGGCAAATCATGTCAGAGGATCTCTTAAGACAACTCATACTGATTTAGATGAAACTAAGAAAAAGATTTAGAAATAACCTTTCAAATCATGCACTCTGTCCCTCATTAAGTTCCAAAATCTCAGCTCAAAAGTATAGTAGGAAAATAGAGCAGAAGGCATACTCACTTTTTATTCCAACCCTGTAAAACAGAAAATAGCACATTACTCAATATAATAACAAGGTCATACTATAATTGTGAATTTAGTGATTTAGGCATGCAAAAAACTGTTAGGCCAGACAGAATACTGTTAGCAGCTATAATAGGAAGATGCTTCCAAACAAAGCACCTTATAAAAATAAGCAACGCTCAAGAAGGGTAAAATAAGAGAATAGCTTACAAGGTAATGAACAAAATATCTCCATTCCTTCTTTCGAAGCTCAGCTTTTTGAACCTAAATTCAAAAGCATATAGGATAAAAACAGAAAGTTAAAACGATAAAACAAAGGAAATCCTAGGATATACACTTTTTGGTACAACTGTAAAAGAAAATATCTCAGAGAATAAAATAGAAATTGAATTTTAAGGCAGATATTATTTATTGCATCTAAGTGAATCCAAATGACTTCTTCAGCAACTTCAAAATCAAGGACACTATACAAGCAATAGCACAACCATAGAACAATCAACGATGCTACGACCTTTTCATGAATTACAAGGCTGTATTCACAAATACAAATACACGATGTCACATATAATTACGCTGTCTCGACTTAAAAGAAAGCACACCACTGCATTTTTCCAACACTAACATTTCAAACACTATAAACCCTAATTTACACAACCAGCTTTTCACGACCTTGAGTGACAAGCCACTGAACTCGATCTATCGACCTCAGTTCCATTCCATATATCAGGATTCTCAGCAAATAAACAGATCATAACATCATGAATCAAAATTAAACAGTAAACTTCAAATTTATAGAAGCGGTAGGCAATGAACAAGTCCAATTTAACTTAGTTATTAACTGAATAAGCGCAGATAAGAACTCAAGATAAGCGCAGAGAGAGAATAATGCCTTAGCCTCATAGATGCGAGGACCGTGATAGGCCAAGACGCGCTCGCCCTCGGAGAAGACTCCAGAATTGGAAGGAGGAGCGTCTCCACTTGAGGTCTCGCCATCGCTGCCAGCGTCGTCCTTCGATGAGCTCCCCATTTTCTTTTACCGACACCGAAAGAGAGAGGAAGGAAGAGCGGGAGATCTGTTGCTGATTTAATTTCTTAAATTCCCGCTGTGGACTATGTTCCCTGCGGGATTTCTATTTTCTGCTTTCGAGTTTGAAACGAAAGGGGACCGAGGTTTTTTCACCTTTCGAAGGACCAAGCATAATTCGGTTATACTGGAAAAATAATCTACTCCAATATTCAGTTGTTTTATATTTTTTAAGTTTTCATATTTATTTGATAAATACATTCAATATCATCAATAAAAACCTTGGTGATCAATAACCAACAATTTTGTTTAGAATATTCATAATCAAAATTAAATTGTATGTGTTCGGTAAAATTTTTAATTAATATGGAGCTTTTTTATGTTAATTGGCAATTAATTTATATTTATATTATATTTAGACTTCACTGAGGCATTAAGTTCATAAAATAACTACTAGTATTTTTTTTTTTTTGACATGAATAAGATAACTACTAATTAATATTTTTATCATCATTCTATTTACAATTATTTAAATATAATAAAATTTATTCAAATTTAATCATCATTCTATTTACAATTATTTAAATATAAATAAAAATTTATTTTCAAATTTAATTTTTTAAAAAATTTTAATTAATATTTTTTTATATAATATTAATAAAATAAAAATAATATTCACCTAAATAAAAATACATTATACACCATATATATTCAAAAAATTAAATAATAAAATAAAAAATAATATTCACCTTAAAATTAAAAAAAATACATTATACACCATAATATATTAAAAAATTATATTTTTAATGGTCATTTTATATTATAACATCAATTGGTCCGCTACCAATGTTTTACTAAATATCAAGATTCATCAATGTTAATCATTATCGTATATAAGTTAATATGAACCCCTAAACCAAATGGGTCCTTAAGCTTTTGCATTTTTTTTTTTTTTTCAATCTTGACTAATCTATCTCTATGTCTATCCATAATCTATAATATATATTGAAGTTGAAATAAGGAATATTGAAATTGCCAAAGATAACTCTATTAAGTTTATGAATTGATAAAAATATTTTTAAGGAATTTAATTTTGTTAGTTGAAAAAATATAAATGATTATTTGCATATTTAAAATTAAATTTTATTAGGTCAAAGTAAAATAAAAAACTATTAAAAAAATAAAAAAATCTTTATGTACAAAATAACTCTAAATTTAATAGATGTAAATTTAATAAAATCCCTAATTGAGAAATTTTATGCTAATTAAAATTTTTAATTTATACTTTTATCATATCTAATTAGGAATTATAATCATATTGCAGAAGTTTTGTCCTATGTTAATTATAAATTATATATTATATATCACCACTATATATATGATTATTTTATCTATATAAGTTTTATTTATTTTTGCTATCAAAGGCTCTTTTATTTTTGTTATCAAGGATTTCACAACTAGATTTCACAACTAAAAATACATCGAACACCCATCGGTTAACTTATTATTATCGATAGTTGATGTGTTAATTTAAATTTTTATTGATTTTAATTTAATATCAATATTATTTTATATATTATTATTTGAAAGGTCCCAAAATTTTGCTTTTTATTTATCCATAAAAATATGATAATTTTAAGTCAATTATCATTTCATGTATTCAACGTGACATCCTAGGTTTGGGGCACAAACACCTTAGGTAAATTTCACATCGACTACGCACTAGGTGGAAGTGATGTAAATATAAGGTGATAGGCCTTAGGATGCCAAGACGTGTTTTCGGCTATCAGGCGTGATTTCGCTGGCCCAGGAACAAAACCGTGCGGGCTCATGGGACCAAAGCTGACAATATCTTAATAGGTCTGGGCTATTACATTCAACTTTTAATTTGCCCTCACTAACATAGGTTATTTTTTGCTAAAAAAGCATTATTTTTTATAAGAAAATAGTTGTTTTTATTATATTTATTATTGAGTGAATAGTGGAAAATAAATGAAATACTTTCTTCAAATATATTCCTTCAATTTCCGAAACAAGGAAAAATATCTTTTTCTATATATTTTTCATAGTTAATTTTCTTGCTTCAAAAAAAAAAACTCCCTTCCAAACAAAGGATAAGCATATACTGTCTTCTAACTACTAAAACTCACACCCAGTAAGTACTGAATACATATATACTTAATTACCATATTGATATTAATTACACATTAATATGCGAGATTGCTACCATGATATTACACAATATATCTTTTCAAAAAAAAAAAAAAAGGATATTATTAGTCCTACTCAAAACGGGTTTCATAGTAAATTCTATATAGCAATTCCAAATTTCAATGTAATAATTAATTAAGAAATACAACTAACTAGTAATTCATAATTAACCCGCTAGTGTCCCTGTCCAGGGCTAGGACCATCCTTATTAATGCCTCCAAAACTCCGAGAATCAGTTAACCTATTCCCTTGTCCTGGGCTTGGTCCTGATTGCTTAATGGCACCAAGAAACAATCCATCAAAGAAACCTTTGTCCCGAACCCTAGGACCATGAGACTCCAAGGTATTCAATGGTCGAGCTTGTGTTTTTGAGCCAAGAAATAAAAGAACAAACAAGAAGCAGCGGACAAGGTAGTTCAGAAAATCTCTAGCCATTCTGTCAATATTACTTTAAAGAAACTAGTTTAAAAAAACGTTGCTGCTGAGCTTATGATATCTTACTTGTATATATATAGTGTTAGCAACCTAGCCCAATGTTCAAAGTTCCTGTTTATTCATGTGAAGAGGAAACATCAAGTGAGGTTCACATTGGGCGGCTTCCTTGGTCCACTAAATCAAAGAAGCCTGACCTAACCTGCAGCTTATAATTATGTGACATTCTTTCGAGAAGAAAAAAAAAAGGCTTAGACTTAGAATTATTTTTGATTTTTAATTAATATATTAATTATATTTTAATAATTATATCTATTAAATTATAGTAACTAAAATAAAATAAAACAAATACAAATTTAAAGTTATTAATGGAAAATGCATTAGTACACCTTAATTGCAAATTATACGTATGCTTGATAATTCCTTTAAAAAAAACATAGGCTTGATAATTATTTTAGTATAAATATAAAAAAACGTGATTAGTAGTGTTAACGTTTGAATTCAAACTATATAAATTGCTTAATTTAATGATTTGCTCAAGAGTTAAAATATGAAAATTAAAGTAATATTAAATAATTAAATAAATATAATTTTTAACTTCATTCTCGAGGAAAAAAGGATGCAAATTCTTTTTTTCACATATATAAAACATGTTCATAGATTACATAAACTGTCTAAATAGAATCAAACTGCATTCATAAATTTTATAATAGTTAGTTTGATTGAGTTTATAGTTTTTTATAAATCGCTATTATAAATTTAATTCGTAAACATCTTTGAAACCCAACGTAAATTTCATAAACCACCTAACTCCTCATCTATTCAATTACGTGTCTTGCTTTTGCATAGAATATAATATATGTCCACATCAAGTTTCCACGTTGAAGAAAATGGAAGTATTTAGCTATTTCAAGAAAATGGACGGAATTGCGTTTCAAAATTTCATATTTTCTTGATGAAAAATTAGCAGTATATTTATGCACATCCATACACGTGTATGTAAAGACTAAACCATCATTTTTCTGTTGTTTGACGGAAATTAATTGAAAAATATTGAAATTTATAATTTATGAAACTATAAAAATATGTAAAATGACATAAATGTAATATTTAAATTTATTACTAAATATGAAAAAAAATAGTAAGTTGTGGGAGTCATCGTGACTAGTGATTCTGATTAATAGTAACTAGTGACTCATTGTGGTAGTTGGCTATGATCAGTAACTAGTGGCGTTGGTCATCAACGATTAATAGATTAATAATTATAAATATTTAATTTTTTAAAAAAACTTAGTTTTTCCCCGTTCATCAACATCCTAAACATAAAAAAATTGTAAAAAAATATATATATATATATTCTCTAAAAGTTATTTCCAGTAAACGAAGGGCATATGAATTTTCTTGCAAGAAAAAAAAGGAAACAAAATCACTTACGCTGTGTCTTCATTCACATGTACACACATTGGTGGATATAAATGTTTGAGATTTTGTCATTGCTGATGTGATGAGTCAAAATGAGAAAATAGAACATTGAATCAAAGATGACATCATTAAAATAACGAAACAAAGCAGATTTTGGAATCTGAATGGTCCAACTTTTGAAGGGGGGGAAGAAATAGAGTCCAAATTTACCATAAAATTTCAGTCTCGAATTAGCAGGCTGCCTGCCTCCTGCTCGGCCACCTTTGATTTTGAATTGTCGTTTCAGAATTAAGAATTTAGGACCACTACAAAGTCCAATTGCGAAAACACATTAAAGCACGTGTCACTTGTAAGAAGGGAAAATTATTTCAAACGTAAATTGCAAGCAATTATTTTATACACCCAATTAATAAATAAAAACATATTTTTATTTAATGGCTATGTACATTTGGTAATGACTTTTCATACTGCGTATATTATTTTGACTAAATTTAAAATCTCGATAACATAATATTTATATTATTTCTTATTTGAAAAAACAGATCATGAAACGTTGCTAAATTTAACGATCGATGAATCACTAGTTAAGCACATGACAACTATTAACAGTTAATAATTATTAAAATTGCTAGCTTAGCTCAAAATGCTCTATTATATCTGGTGTGGACACAAATGCTCTTTTTTTTTTTTTTTTTTTTAGCTCAAAATGCTCTATTATATCTTTTGGTGTGGACACAAATGCTCTTTTTTTTTTTTTTTTTTTTTTTTTTTGGAAAGAAAAAAAAAATTATTGGAGATAGTGAGTTGAAATTGTTGTGGCACAAATTTAGATAAGATTTTCTCATAATTAATTATATCGTGGAAATTACTGGGCTCAAATAAATAAATAAGAGAATAATTTAGTGTGTCTAAAATAATTATTTGACTAAATCTAGTGTCTAGCGGTTAGATTATACCTTTAATATTTAATATAAAAAGATAATTAAAAATAGAGCTATAGTAATATATTATGGGAATAAATTATTATTTTTATTATTTTATTCTTGGATAGATACGAGATGATCACCATAATTGATTCTCATCTAATTTAATAATAGGAGTGATATACTTCCAATTTGATAATTAATTTTAATTAAAATATTGATTAAATAAAATTAGAATCTTCGAGTTATAAGTAAACCTGATTATCTGTTAGCTTAGTTTAATAAATATTATATTCATTTCATCTGTTTAGTACAGATTAATATATAATATATATATATATATATTATATTATATATATATTATATATATATATATATATGTTATGATTATTTTAAAAATATGTATGATATTAAAAGATTAACATTAGTTAATCATTAATTAAATAGTAAAATTTTCATCATAACATTAAATTATATAATAAAATATAATATAATCATACTCGCGGATTTTCCATGCTCATCTTTGTTATCAATTAAAAAAAAGCCAGTAAATAATATTTAAATCCTGTACAGGATCATTTTATTTAAAAAAAAAAATGCTGACATTAGTTTATCTTGTTTACCTAAAAGTTAGTTGCGGAAGCTGGGCCTATCAAGAATGGATCTGAATTTATTACCAATAAAAATTTCCAGTTGAGGACTACGAACATCAAAATTAATAATAAAATCTTCAAAGCTGAAAACCACATCTCATACATCAAAATAATGAAAAACAAGTGTATGTTATTATATAATGTATTACTTTTCAAATTACATTATTTGATCTGTTTTCTTTTCCTCTTTCTAACTGTATTACATACAAGAAAATTTCAAGAGAAAAGAATATTCCCTTACACTACATTATATATATATATATATATATATAATTTGAATAAACAATGTCAAAGAATAATTTTTCATAAATTTTTATTCAATGTCAATGAATTTAAAGTATGAATGTATGTATTGGATAAAAAATAAAAGAACTGTTTGAGTTGTAAAATGAAACAGGGGCTAGTGCTGATTCCCGGTGAGTTCTTGACCTGGACAGGGACCTGAATCCTTAATCCCTCCAAGTGTACAGACATTGTTGTATTAATGCCCTTTACCTCCGGCGCTTGGACCGGAGTCCTTAATCCCTCCAAGTGTTTGGGCATCGGTATACTCATGTCCTTCACCACCATTGCTTGGACCAGAGTCCTTAATGCCTCCAAGTGTCTGGACATTGGTGTACTTGTGTCCTTCACCAGGGCTAGGACCATCCTTAATTCCTCCAAGCGTCTGAGCATTGGTATACTTGTGTCCTTCTCCAGGGCTAGGACCATCCTTAATCCCTCCAAGCGTCTGAGCATTGGTATACTTGTGTCCTTCTCCAGGGCTAGGACCATCCTTAATCCCTCCAAGCGTCTGAGCATTGGTATACTTGTGTCCTTCTCCAGGGCTAGGACCATCCTTAATCCCTCCAAGCGTCTGAGCATTGGTATACTTGTGTCCTTCTCCAGGGCTAGGACCATCCTTAATCCCTCCAAGCGTCTGAGCATTGGTATACTTGTGTCCTTCTCCAGGGCTAGGACCATCCTTAATCCCTCCAAGCGTCTGAGCATTGGTATACTTGTGTCCTTCTCCAGGGCTAGGACCATCCTTAATCCCTCCAAGCGTCTGAGCATTGGTATACTTGTGTCCTTCTCCAGGGCTAGGACCATCCTTAATCCCTCCAAGCGTCTGAGCATTGGTATACTTGTGTCCTTCTCCAGGGCTAGGACCATCCTTAATCCCTCCAAGCGTCTGAGCATTGGTATACTTGTGTCCTTCTCCAGGGCTAGGACCATCCTTAATCCCTCCAAGCGTCTGAGCATTGGTATACTTGTGTCCTTCTCCAGGGCTAGGACCATCCTTAATCCCTCCAAGCGTCTGAGCATTGGTATACTTGACCATGAATATTAATCTTAATCTCACGTCTACGGCTAGCGTAGCGTTCTGTAGCATTGCGTATACTTTGTCCTTCTCCAGGGCAGACCATCTTAATCCCTCCAAGCCGTCTACATTGGTATATTGTCCTTTCTCCAGGCTAGGGACCATCCTTTAATCCCCCCCAAGCAGTCTGAGCATTGGATTTATACTTGTGTCCTTTCTCCCAGGCTAGGACATCTTAAATCCCTCCAAGCGTCTGAGCCATTGGTTATACTTGTTGTCCTCTCCAGGGCTGGACCATCCTAATCCCTCCAAGCGTCTGAGCATTGGATAATACTGTCCTTGCACCGGGAGGCTGGGCCAGAGCCTTATATTCCCCCAAGCGTTTGGGCATGGCATTACTTGTGTCCTGCCCCAGACTTGGCCAGAGTCCTTAATGCTCGCAAGTGAGAATCCATCCAAGAAACCTTCAATTACTCTCGTAGCAGAGTAATGTCTTGTGTCCAAAGACGCCCTTCATTCAATGAAACCGGAAGGTAATTATCACTATGAGGATAAGAAAGAAACTTGAAAGATTTTACAAGACATCGCCATTGAAGAACGTGGGGGAATTGAAAACAGAGGGGATGCGGGTTTAGTTTGCTTGTGATATATTTGCAAGAAATGGCAGAATGTGTGATATTGTTTAGCAAGAATGGAGATGTGAAGTTTGGTATTTATCAATGTGTGTGTCTACAATTTCCAACCCGAATTGGAACTGAGATTGCGAAGTAATGGATTTATGAGATAACCTTATTGCTTGCAACTAAAGAGTCAGAGAGGTGTAACGTTTATATATTGGGCTTGTATTATTGTGCACCTAAATAATTTTTGCTTGAGTTTCAACAGAAGATCCGATCGATGAAAAATAAAAATAAAAAAAAAATCGAGATTATATGATTCCAGTAGTTCTTTATTTCAAACGAACGTGTGGACGATTGTGTATAAATGCGTATGCACTGTTTGCATTTTTATTTTTTTTGTTGGTTGGAATCCTGATTTCCACAATGGATGGAAATATGTGTCTCATAACATCAGCTCCCTAGACACAAGATTAATAGTCGACCACACTATATCTGTCTGAGCATTGGTATACTTGTGTCCTTCTCCAGGGCTAGGACCATCCTTAATCCCTCCAAGCGTCTGAGCATTGGTATACTTGTGTCCTTCTCCAGGGCTAGGACCATCCTTAATCCCTCCAAGCGTCTGAGCATTGGTATACTTGTGTCCTTCTCCAGGGCTAGGACCATCCTTAATCCCTCCAAGCGTCTGAGCATTGGTATACTTGTGTCCTTCTCCAGGGCTAGGACCATCCTTAATCCCTCCAAGCGTCTGAGCATTGGTATACTTGTGTCCTTCTCCAGGGCTAGGACCATCCTTAATCCCTCCAAGCGTCTGAGCATTGGTATACTTGTGTCCTTCTCCAGGGCTAGGACCATCCTTAATCCCTCCAAGCGTCTGAGCATTGGTATACTTGTGTCCTTCTCCAGGGCTAGGACCATCCTTAATCCCTCCAAGCGTCTGAGCATTGGTATACTTGTGTCCTTCACCGGGAGGGCTGGGGCCAGAGTCCTTAATTCCCCCAAGCGTTTGGGCATTGGCATACTTGTGTCCTGCCCCAGGACTTGGGCCAGATTCCTTAATTGCTCCAAGTGAGAATCCATCCAAGAAACCTTCAATTACTCTCGTAGCAGAGTAATTTCTTGTTTTCAAAGGACGCCCTTCAGTCTCAATGAAACCGAAGTTAATTATCACTATGAGGATAAGAAAGAAACTTGAAGATTTTACAAGAATCGCCATTGAAGAACGTGGGGAATTGAAAACAGAGGGAGCTGGGTTTAGTTTGCTTGTGTATTTTTGATATTGTAGCAAGAAATGGAGATGTGATATTGTAGCAAGAAATGGAGATGTTGGAGTATAGTATTTATATTGTTGATGAGATAATCTTTCTTTGACTAAATGAAGTCGTTTTGGGCTTTCAAAACAAACGTGAGATTTTCCAGTGTTCTTTATTTCAAACGAACGTGGTGATGTATGAATCCCACGAACCAACCAGGGAGGTTCTTGTTGAAGAAAAAGAAAAAGAAAAATCAAGAACGGAGGAAAATTAAAAAAAAGAAAAGGAATTTGACAGTATTCCAAGTTGGAAGGTGTTAGGAAATTAATAATTAATTAATAAAATTATTCTCAAAACCATGGTATTAATTCATATATTGATATTTTATTTCTTGGTCTGGAGGTAATGAGACATTTCTTTCCTCTCTTAGTAAGAGTTGGAGACCAGAGAACAAAGACTAGGAAAATACAGTTTGAATTCCAACCGGTTGGGGCTATATAGGGAAAGAGTAGTTAGGTATATTTAAGAGCTAGCGTGACTAGTAAGCTATATATATGGGAAAAATTTACTGCACTGGGCGTATAATTCCACCGGGGCAAGAATAATTTTTTATTTAAACCACAATATTTATATTGTATTTGAGAAAAAAAAAGTAATAAAGAGTAATAATTTTTATAAACATATTATAATTTATTATTATTCTACAAACAGATTAATTGGGCCAGATAGTTAATTACTTAATAATACAATACTTCGAATATAATTAAAAACAAAGTCAACATTTACAATTGATAAAAGTTACTAATCAGTAATCACATTGTGTATATATCAAATGCAGATTTGTATTTGGCATAACATAAACAAAGGTTTGACCCTTTGTTAACTTTAATTTGATATTATCTTCAAAAATCTGTAACCAATAGATGAATTGGTTAATTGCTAGACTCCATCAACATTTTACAATAAAGCTTAGTTTATTTAATTGTAATAAATTCATTGTAGAATTTCTAAACTTATAAATTTAATTTATATTCCAGTCAATATTTAAAATTATTCATTAAATATTCACCTATTTATTTAGCTCAACGTAGTGATTAAATTCAAACATTTTAGGATTAAATTTCAAAACGAATAAATTTTAATATGAATGGAAAAAAAAATTATAAAAACATTCCCATTTAGTTAACAACTGCTACGAATCTTTGACTTGACTCGTTTTTCAGAACAAAAGTCCAAGAGTACTTTTTGGGTCCAGGGAAGAGCTCTAAAGTCTCGGCAGGAATTTTTGACAACGAGGTTCAATTTTTGTTCGAAAAATAATTTACTTTTAAAAATTATTTCTTTTGAAAATTATTTTACAAATAATTTATTTTTTATTTGATTATAATATTAAAAAATTAGTTAAAAAATATAAAAATGTTTAATTTATAAAACCATAAAAATATTTATAATAATAAAAATCTCATGTTTTAAAATTTTTTTAAATCTATGTTAAAAATTTATTGTAAATTTTAGGATAAAATAGATAATTTGATGTCGTTTTATGACTAAATGCAATCATTAAATGGAACAATATGCTTAATTGCTTACCACTAATAGGAAATATTTATTTAGTCAACAAATTGTAACAATAGAAATTATATATGTATATTTTTGAATATTGAAAGAGATTCAAATATGAATCTATTGCAATTTACCACTAGCATATATTTAGTACGTGAAAATTATAATTTTTAAAATTAAATAAAAAGGAAAAAAAAGATGAAGTTGTGATGGTTAATAAAACAAATGAAACCATATATATATATATATATATATACTAAATGTAAGCATAAAAAAATTTGTCTTGAAGAAAATTTTAATTTTGTTCTAGGAATGCCAAGGTTAAATAAATTTTGATTAAAATACATGTCACGACCCGATTCCACGGGCCGGACCGACACTAGGGCCCAGGTAAGCTTAAGGCCCCCGAGGCCCGTAGTAAGCCTGAAACCCTAAAATTTGCTATCTTAATATAAATTTCGAATATTCAGCCCATATTAAAAAAATAAGCCTCAAGATTTTATTTCATCTCATTTCTAATATAGGCTCAAAGCATCATTTCGTCTACGATAATACACGACTAAAGGTAAGTAAATTCTACAACTGCGGAGTCACTAACTATTTGATATACATAGCCTTTTATACATACAGTTACATACTGAAATAATTATGGAATTAAGGAAAATTTCTTTGATGCCTTGCGTCAAAGAAACGTAACCTAATTCGAACTAAAGAGGAACTTACTTCCTGAAAAAATTAAACAAGACATGTGAGTTTTTCCTAAAATGATAATTATTGCACAACACATACAGTCACACAAATGTCAGATGGTGTAAACATATCAATCTAGTCATCCGACTATTATATGCTCACGCAAGCCAGTCACACAGGATGGCAGTCTCAAACCAGCACTCTTACAAAACAATATCACCTTCAAATAATCACATCACGTGCGGAAATTAGTCGAGTAGCGTCACCTGAAACCCACCGACGAGCCGTCCTCTCAAACAGCCCGATCCTCTCAAAACATGTGCACCCGGGAGCCAATCCCCCATATCTGGCACCCGACCGGTCTAATCCTCACTTGACCAGTCCTCTCTAATATTTTATTTTACATTCTTTCTCTTTCTTTTCCATCTCATCAACATCATTCATTCAATTCATCAGGTGCACACGGGCGCCGATCTCCCATTTACCGGCACGGTCCAATTTCACAATCATCATAATCAGGATCCATGCTACGACCGTCCTCACACAACCCCATGGTGACCCACTTCATCCACCAATTCCAACACAAGCAAGACTATAAAGCAATATCACAACACAAATTAATCAAACCATTGCAAACAAATGCAGACATATTATTCAACTTGACATCGTAAATGCCAATGCACAATTTAAACATGCCAAAAATCAATGCAAGATAAAAAATAAATAAATAATAGATTGACATAAACAACAAGATAATAAAAACAATAACGAATAATAACACAATAATAAGCCCAAATCAAATAAATAAATATATAAATAATGAAATGAATAATACAAGACAATAAATAATTAGGAGCCACCGGATTTATATGCTACCAAATATAGAACTTAATCCTACAACTAAACTCTATTTACTCTATTTGTTAAAATTTAAACAATCTAGTTTAAACTTTCCTGTTCAAATTTTCTGCAGCACCTTCCCCTAAAAAGTGACTATCTACCTGCTCACAGTATCACATCATCGTAATCTTTATCAATTCAAAGCACACAGCCCATCCGTTCGGGCAGAGCAATCAATTTATTCTCCCTTCCTCCAACTAAGTAACAAAATAATTATTATTAACTTATTTAACCATCTATACAAAACCTTAGCTTTACTTAATACATGATTTCAACATTGATACAAATTAGTTTACTACTAATACAAAAATATTCATAGCTTTACTAAGATTAAACAAATAAGTAAATAAATACGCGATTAAATGAAAATGTTTATTTGTTTAATTTCCGCGTCCTACTACTTTAAACTATCCTTAAACTATCTGATCATATATTCCTTTAATAATCATACAAAGTTATAGCTCATATTCCTTTTACCAACATTAATTAGGATCTTATGTAACAACTTAATAATTTGTGAATCACTATCCTCACCAAGCAAGATTATAGGAAACGCCCTATTTAAATTATCTATTAAGCATAACTAAGCTAATCAAGTCTTAATTGAATTTGTAACTCAATTACACTATAGCCTTTGCTACTCATTAAGCAAAATTTAACCAAAATAACTAAACTAGCGGCTGCCTCAACAGAATTAAAAATTCATTATATATGAACTTAATTTAAACCGAAAACTACAATTTCTCTAATCACAATTGTTGCCATCTAGTCCAATTCTTAGCTATAAATAAAAATTACCTCAATAACTACCAAATCACCCACTAAATCACAAAAATTCAGAAATATAACGTAGAACAAGGCTTGAGAATTTATTTTAACAAAAGACTATAAATGTTCATATATTTCAAGGTTAATCCCAATAAGTTAAGCTCTTGTATTCAATTTAGTCTATTTAAATTAATTTCAATTAACTTTTATATATAAAATTGAGAACGAGTTTAGAACGTTACCCATTGGGAATCGGGGCGACGATTCCGCAGATCAGCGCGAAGGAGAAGAAAGGATTAATCTGTCTCTTGCGGGCCCGCGGGTGCCGTCGGACCGGTCACCGGACCGCGGCCGGCCGGGCCTGTGCACGTGGCCCGGAAAAAGCTAAACCGCCCAAGAAAAATTGCAAGGTCACCAGCACTGACTCCAATTTTCGCCGAGGAGTCAAATCTACCAATCGGTTTGAGAGGCGAGTGAGCATCGTTTGGCCGGAATCGACCTCCACAGCCACCTTCCAAGCCGCCATCCATGGTGGTTCATCAAAACTCAAGCCAAAATCATCGCTACACAAAAATATGACGTAGTCAAAAGAGGTTAGGGAATTGTTGTGCGAACAATAGAGAAGGAGAGGAGCTCAATCGAGACCTTCAGTTCAACCTCTAGACCACTAGTCGATTGAATTACAATATTAGGGATGAAATAAATATTTTTTAAAAAAAGGCGACGACGATGCTTTTGACATAATGATTAGAAAAGGTAAATAATAATTTTCTTTTTATGTTCATGAAGAACAATGAGAAAGGAAATCATGTTTAATAATCAGGAAACTTGATGGTATGAGTTCCAAAGTACCTTAGCAACCAACATCTAGGTGATCGAAGATTCTTCAAATCCAGAAAATGAAGCGTCAGCAAGTCCTTCCATCACGGCAGGAGATCGTCTACCTAGCAGCATGGGTTGACTGTCGGATAAGATTAGTGACGATTATGCTCGTGGATTCGCCGCCCGCTGTGGAGGTCCAATTCGGACGCGAATGATAAGCTTTTGATAGACAGTGATCAGGGTCAGTGTACTCCTCTTCCAGTTTTCTTCGCATCGCGCCACAGCATGAATATATATTTACTGTCTTCACAACAGGTCCAAACTCTGAGGCTCCATTGAACAATCTTGAACCTCGCCAAAATCGCTCAGCCCAAACAGCCTGAATCCGATGCCGTCCCTTATAATCCCTACTGATATCTGGCAAAATTTGCATTTCATGATTGGCCCGGTGGAGAGACCTCGCCATGCAACGAGCGGCGTGAGAGGTGGAGTGATAAGAGAAGCGCGAGATTGACCCCCGCGGAAACAGCGAAGTGAGAGCGATAGAAGTGGAGGATTACATCTGAGTCATGAGAGCAGCGGCCGCGAGAAGAAGAAGGGCAAAAGAAGGAGAAACGAAACAAAAAGAAAAAGAAGGAAGGAAAGTGCTGGGCCAATCCGTTTCGATGATATTCGTAAAACTTCGTGAGTTAACCCAGTTTTAATTAAAGAATAACCAGTCAAATTGCTGATCTCATTATTATAATGTATTAACAGGTTTTTACTAGGTGTGTTTTTTCTATCCTAGTGGATTCGTCGTTCAAATTTGCGCTATTCAAACTCGGTCCGTGATCTCTTTTCAACTTTATTGAAATGTAATTTCCAGGCCTTATCCAGTTGTTGATTTGATTTCTCGATCATGCCAATTGTCATATGTCATATCATTTATCAGGTTATATTACTAAAAAAACAAGCTTCTTCTCTATTTCAATCACACCAACCTGCCCAATCTAGCGTGTAAGTAAATGTTACCTATACGCTTTGACATTGCACCATATATAGTAAGATTTTGATTGGAGATTGGTTTAGAAATAATATTGCACCCAATCAATATAGTTGCTTATATAATATATATAATAGATCTTCACCTTAAGTGTGTTTTGTGTTTTCAACCCCGTATATTCCCATTGGATCTCTGTCTTGATAGGTGGAGACAAAATCTCAATAATGGCATACTCATCATTCTTCAAACCCAGATTTCCATTCTCAAATAGCTATCGGAGCGAATATAAATCGTAACCGCTGAAATTTTGAAATCGGATACCTGAAAAGGAAAATAGTAAATGTCTGTAAACAATGAACTTTTTTTTGATGGACTATAGGCCAATTCGAAAATTTGCGGCTCTCTGAGCAAATTAGACCATCAACATCTTAAATATGCAACAACGTGAGAGTTAAGAGCGAAAACAGCACTACGCCGGCCTATAAATTTCGCGAGTTTTGCATTTAATTAACAAAAATGCCGCATGAAGGCTTTTCACAACATGAGAAATAAAAATAAAGTATGTCTTAGCAGGTGTACCATACAAACACAGGCGCTAATTAGATGAGGACTATGTTAAAATCAAATTACCTTATTCATCTAATCTATAGTTATACACAGTCTGCTAGTGAGTATATATGGTATTTTCTTCTCGTTTTTCCAAGGCAATAGAAGATATTTGATCAAATAATCTCTCGCGATGTTTTGTATTGTTCTTATTTACCATTGTCCAATGCTTAATTTTTCTGTTTTAAAATGTAAAAATAATTTTTATATTTATTTTTCAATCTTTAATTTTAAAATAAAAATTCAGGGTGTTTCAATATATATATATATATATATTTTACATACCGGTTTGTTTTTTGTTTCTATTTACCATTGGCCAATGCTTAATTTTCTGTTTTAAAATGTAAAAATAATTTTTTATTTATTTTTCAATTTTATTTTAATTATATATTATATTAATTTCTGATGAATTTTATATGTTTGACATCACAATTTAGACTTTAATTGAATGCCTCTATTATTCTTAGATGTTTAATATACTATACTCTACTGTTCATATTGAATTCTAAATATATCTATATACAAATTTTTAAATTTTTTAATTAATTTTATCTATATATTTTTATAGATAATTGCAAGTCCTTTTGAAAACTTAAATTAAAATTAATTCATCGAAAACACTCTTCCTCAATTGGGTTAGTGTATGATAGTTATTGACCGATCCAATCATCACCATTTATATTTTTGTTGCTTGCTTTTTATATTTGTTTGTTAGTTATTTATTTTTCCATTAGTTGTAAACAATTGATTAATATTTCCATTCATTTTATTCAAGCAATTTCCATCGATTTTATTCTAAGATTTAAAAATAATAATAAAATTCAAATTTGGTTTGATTACATGGTTCCTGAGTGAAAACTAAACAGATTAGATGGTGTTATTTTAGAAAAATTGGTATCCATAAATATAAGAAAATGGAATCATTTGGATATTGTAATTAGATCATTTATTACATTATTATTAATTTTAGTCTCACATGAGTTTTGTTTTTCCGATGATTTTGAATGATTTTTTTATAATATCCAATAAAACAAGAAATTATATTATAATAAGATCATTTAAATTTAAATTATATTCGATAAGATAATAAATTATATTATAAACTATATATGGTATATATTAAAATGGTAATATTATTGGGTTCCAGCTTTTTTCTAATTGAAGCTTTTTTCCAATTGAAACTTTTTTTCTAATTGAAGCCATTAGTTTTGAAACTAAAATCATATAATATAATATTAAGTAAGGTATGTATTTCGTAATGTTTCTGAGTGATGAAAATGCTGAGCATAGATATCGTTTTATGTATTAGTCGACTGCGTATGTATATCATGACAATTGTTAATGTATCCACATTAATAACAAATTACACTGATTTTTCGCTGTTCATAGTATTAAGGTGAATTACAGTATGCAATATAAAATATGTGAAATATAATACTATTTCTTTTCGACAGAAAATTAGAGAGAATAAGATTACATAATAATGGTTGATATATTATAAACTATATATGGTATATATTAAAATTGGTAATATTATTGGTTCCAGCTTTTTCTAAATTTGAAGCCTTTTTTCCAAGATTGAAAACTTTTTTTCTGAATTGAAGCCATTGTTTTGAAAACGTAAAATCATATAAGTATAATATTAAGTAAGGTATGCTATATGATATATTAAATATGGCGTAAATATATTATATATATAATATATTATATATATACATGAATATATAATGATATTATATGGTAATATTAATAATATTATATTATATGGTAATATAATATAATATCGCGATACTATATATGATAATATATATATAACATATGGTAATGTATGTATACTATATGGTAATATAATATAATATGATAATTCAATTTGATGGATACTAAATAAGGCATATATTAAATATGGTAATTAAGAATCTAATATCTTTAAAGATTAAAAAAAAATAAAAATAAAAGATATCAAAATTATAAAAATTCTCTAAAACGATGATTATTAATCATTATAACAGATATTTACTTATAATATATAATATCTATAATATAAATTCAAAACATATTTTATTTTATTTTATTATTTCATAAAATATTCTTTTTGGAATTTTGTGAATGCTCTTAAATTTTTAGTAATATAAAAATGCTCTTAAAAAATATTATGCCAAATTGCAACTTTACAATTTTTAAGATAACTCTAATACTATTAAGCCAAACTGGATATATAAAATTATTTATACTTTTTTTAATATTAATGGTTAGACATATAACGGATCGACTTATATATATGTATACTAAGATTTATGTAATTTTTTTTTCCAAACAATTTTAAAGATTTATGTATTCAAGAAATATTAAATTGAGGGGTGCCACCAATGATGTTAAAGTCAAATTCGGGTTGACGAGGAAAAGATATTTCATTTTTAAAAAAATTGTTCATATTTTTTTTTATTATATGGTTAGAAATATTTTTATTTTAACAAAAATTTTTATTTTTATTAATTTGGTCCATAGATAGAGTCAAAGGCCAGTTTCGACAAATCAATTCTTTAGAATGATTTATATTTTTATTGTTGAAAGAAAAGATCCAATAATTGAAAATTGTCCATTATGTTTCTCCACATTAAATTCTGCAGATATGGAAATATGATCGCAGTTAAATTGAATTAGCCCTTTATAGCATAAAAAATCTGAAGACAACTCAAAATATTTTGTCCATTTATGCTACTTCCAATTAATTAATAGAAAAAATCTTATAAATTTCAAAATTGAACTTAGCAGGTGACAAGATAAGAAAACTTTCATATAGCATTCTTCTCTTTCTTTTTCTTTTCTTATAGCTTTAGAATCAAAAACCAAAATGGCTGCTCAAGCTGAACAAGTAAATATTCTAATGGTAACAGTGGCCTTTCATGGCCATATTAACCCTATGTTGAGCCTAGCAAAATGCCTTGTTCCAAAAGCTATTCACATCACTATTGCCATTAACGATGTCGCTCGCCACCGGATGCTACAGTCAAAAGTCTCAACTTCTTTGTCTACCACTGCCCCAAACACCACTCCCAAACCTCCTGGAATTGATATTGTTTTCTACTCCGATGGGCTTAGCCCAGAATTCGATCGCGACAATGATGTCGATTTGATGATAAAGTCCTTACGTACAGTAGGATCCGAAAACTTGTCAAATATGATATCCAATTCGGATAAGAAATTTTCTTGCATTATTTGCAACCCATTTATGCCATGGGTACCTGATATCGCTGAAAAACATGGTATCCCTTGTGCAGTGCTTTGGATTCAAGCTTGTACTGTGTATTCTATTTACTATCATTTTTTTAAGTATCCTAATTCTTTTCCTTCAATAGAAAACCCTAACGAGTCCATAAAATTGCCAGGATTGCCTGTTTTACAAGTAAAAGATCTTCCTTCGTTTATATTGCCATCAAGTCCTGAAACATTCAAAAAAATTTTGTCAGAGTTTTTTCAAAAATTGGATAAAGTGAAATGGGTTTTGGCAAATTCTTTTACTGAACTCGAAGAAGAGGTAGTTAAGTCCACGAATTACCATCCCCATCATATTTTTCCTATTGGTCCATTGGTTTCACCATTTTTATTTCAAAAAAAGGAAGAAACTGCTATTTGCAATATTGGTATGCGAAATTCTAATGAAAATGCATGCATAGAATGGCTTGACAAAAAATCACCTTCTTCTGTCATCTATATTTCATTTGGAACCATTACTTTGTTGTCTCAGAAGCAAATGGATAACTTGGCGATTGCATTAAAGAATAGTGAGAAACCATTCCTCTGGGTTATTAAGGTAAAAGAAAATCATTTTGATCATGAAAATAGAAGTGAATTGTTTGTTAGGTTCTTAGAGGAAACAAAAGATAGGGGCATGGTGGTTACTTGGTGTCCTCAAGATAAGGTTTTAATGCACAAAGCTATTGCTTGCTTCATTACGCATTGTGGGTGGAATTCGTCATTGGAGGCTGTGACGGCCGGAGTGCCAGTTATTTCTTATCCGGGATGGACTGATCAGCCAACAGTTGCTAAGATGTTGGTTGATGTTCTCAAGATTGGAGTTAAGATTAAGATTGAAGAAGAAGATGGTGAGGTGGTAGCAAGCGCAGATGAAATAAAAAGATGTATTCTGGAAATTACTAATGGAAAAAAAGCGGAAGAGATTAAGAGAAATGCTGTGAAGTTGAGTGAGGTAGCTAAAAAAGCGATGGCGGACGATGGTTCTTCTAATAAGAATCTTGATCTTTTTATTAAAAAGATTATTTTGAACTCTTCGTGCTTCTTGAAATCTTAGTAGCATATATTAATGTCAAATAAGCTGCCAGCATGATTTTATATGAAATCAATTTCTAATGTAATAGGTTTATTCAATGCATTTAATATCTAGATCATGAATGAATAAGGGTAGTCATTATGGTGGAAAAAGGCTGAAAGTTCCTCCAACTGAACTGTAATGGGTACTTGTTTGATAATAAGATTGTAGTTGCAGCGTCTTTATGTTAACAAATTTGCCACCATGATGTAATAATTCTGAGAGAATGACCCGCCTAAATACGCTTTATGGCTTTATTCACGTACCGCCACCATGATATAATAATTTTAAGATTGTCTAGATGTAATTTATGGCTTAATTCATTAATCAAATCAATGAACAATATTTTTTAAACAAGAGTATTTCTTACAATTAAAAAAAATAAAGTGAAATGTTTATTTTTATTGGTTTTGTTGGCCTATAGAATAAAGAGACAAGTTGTATCCTAATGCTAATAAGAATTGCAATGTAAAATATATGTCCAATTCTATTTATAGATTCAGACCAATTACAACTGAGTATTTTAAAAAAATTCTTTTCACTTTATCATTTTTTTTATAGCTAAAAATCATAAATACCTTCGTGTCTAAAGAAAAGTATTTTTCATTCATTAGATCTATGGATAGACTCATAAACTCATTTAAGTAAATCATTCTCAAAACACGTTTGAATTAAATGAATAATTTACTGAATAAGTTGAACAAAGAAAATTGAATGTTGTGACCACTCATTTTCAATATGTTGAATTAATGTAGCTTATAACTAAGGATATCATCGTATTTAGGGATGATAATAATAGGGTTGTAGTTAGTTAATGCAATACATTACCTAAACCCTAGCCCATCCTCAATTTCCATATCCAATCTGATATCCTATTATTGTAAATTAGAGTGAAATTTTAAAATCTAAAATTTTAAAAATTTGACCGATTCAAATTAATATATGAAAACTAGAGTGAAGTCATTTTATACTACACTATATCACAATAAAATAAAGTTGAAGTTTAAATAAATAATTTACTAAAAATATCCAAATTTATTAAAAATTCCATATTATAATTTTAAAGAATAATAAATTTTTGAGCCTCTCGAAGTTTTGATTTGGATTATATGGATTCGAGTTCAGATATTAGTACTTTACTCATATCTAAAATAAAATTTTCAAATTTTGACGTCCCTACTAATTGTTTGTTACCTAACCCATTACCTAAATGATCGTGGGTTGTAAATGTTGGACCCGCCCGTGAGTCACTAAAGCCCACTTAATTGGGTTATTTTGGGCCACATATCCCTAAGGACCCGAAGAAGTAATAATTAATTCGTCTTTTGGGCTCAAATAAAAAATCGATGAATTGCTACATGATGATCGGCAATGTCGCCAATTGTTAAATTGATTAGCATCCATTGGGTTATGTCTTGGACTGAAATTAACCATTACTATAACTATTCATATTTTACATCGGAAGTTTTGAATTAGTAGTACTTTCTTGAATTGTAATTTTTAAATCACAGGTTTTGTAAGTCAGTATTCATTTTCTTTTCATTTTTTTAAAAGAAATAACTTAATTTGTTTTTTAGTTATACTTCGGATGCACTTCTTCAATTCAATTTGAACCCTTAAGAATCATGCACAATCTTATTTTTTACATCACATGTTTATGAATCAGTATTCATTTTCTTTTAATTTTATTTTAAAAGAAATAGCTTAATTCTGTTTTTCAGGTACAAATTTTTAATTCAATTTGAGTCCTCAAAATTCAAGAACCATGCAAAACCCTAATTTTTATGTCATTATTTTTAAAAGGAACAACTTAATTTTGTTTTTGAGTTATTTTTCGGAAATATATCGAGTAATTAACAACCATCCACAATCATACATTTTACATTATATTGTTTATGAATTAGTAATCATTTCCTTTTGATTTTATTAAAAAAGGATCAACTTTCCGAAAGTGTCACAGCAAAAAGTTCAATAATTTTTTTACCTAAAAACAAATTTAAAGAAGACAATAATAAAAAAAGTCAGGCAGAATGACAAAATCCATTCATATCTTGTACTATTTATTTTTTTTAATTCGAAAAACTAAAAATTTAATAGATGTAATTATTGGGTACAACTATTTTATGCACAAAATCTGATATGCTTATTAGTTATTGTTTTTTGTTGTATTGAACATTAATAATTTATTAAGGTTGGAGTCGTAATCAATTAGTTAATTTTCAAAGCACGTGAGACTTGAAGAGTTGACAAGAAAGCATGAAGGGATGAGTTGCGGTCGCCACTCACGGAGGAAGCAGAAAAATCTTATTAGAAATTTAATGCAAAGATGAAGTCAGATCAGGCAGGTGAATGCTTACAAAAAATTAGGGTTTGAAAGCTCATCTTTAGCCACCCATATTAATTATTATTATAACAATCGCATATCAATGTGCTTCTCATGCCAAAGATTTTTTCTTTTTTTTTTTTTTTTTTTTTTTTTTTTTTTTTTTTTTTTTTTGAAGGATCGAGTTGCGGTCGCCACTCACGGAGGAAGCAGAAACTGCTTATTGAAAAATTATGCAAGATGAATAGATTCAGCAGGTGAAATGCATTTACAAAAAAATTAGGGTTTGGAAAGGCTTTCTTTACCAACCCATATTATATTATTTATAAACAATATCGATATCAATGTGCTTCTCATGCCAAAGATCTTTCTTCTTTTTTTTTTTTTTTTTTTTTTTTTTTTTTTTTCTTTGTATCTAATAGCGAAAACAAACTCTTTTTCATTCTACACGACTTGGCTATAAGTCAGCAAGACAAGGAAGCGTTTTTTTTTTTTTTTTTTTTTTTTTTTTTTTTTTTTTTTTTTTTTGTCTTTAGCGAACAACTCTTTTCATTCTAACGATATGGCTATAAGTCAGCAAGACAAGAGAGCCATTTCTAATTTCTGTCCCCTCGCAAGCCATAGAGAGTTTGATATATTTTTATTTATTTATTTATTTATCTCAAGATGTAAGATTAGCTATTCTATCGCTATTTTGACGGAAATAATTAGCAATAAGGACTCTATTGCTGCAGTTAATTGCACAGAATGTCAGAATTTATCTATAAAATTTTATCTAGGTAATCTTGAATTTTTTTTCCGTTTGTAGTATAGGAGTGGACAAGTTGATTCCAGTTTATGATTAATATATCAAAACTAAAGAAGAAGAAGAAATGAAGAATCCAGCATGTCAACAAGCCATGTGTCTCTCGCAGACTCTTTTATTCATTTTCTATTTTTGCTGAGATACATTGTTTATTTCTTTATTCAAGTTATATTTATGTTGCAAGCAACTCCTTCCGGCTCTTCCATTCACAAAAGAATATATCTTTTTTTTTTTTTTCTTTCTTTTATTCAAGAAACTGGAGATTCCTGATTTTCCCAAGAAAAAAAGCTCGTTCCCACAATTTAATTTATAAATATTTACAATGTTGACTTTGAGGATCTAATTTTGGTAAAACAATGTTAAAAGAACAATGGATGGCTACGCAAAACACCAAATAATTTGGAACACAGATGCTGTAAAACTAAAGAGAGGCTTCGATTGGTTGTTGGGTCCTTCAGGTATCTCCCATCACCGTTGATTTTATTCTCCTTCCTAGTTGCTACCGCTAAATTGGTATCAAGAATAAAATGTTGGAAGCTCTAATTAAACCAACGTTTTGACCAATAATTTACTCTTTTTGACAAAATAAAGAAATAATATTGCAACTTAAACAATAACCTATTATGAATAATTTACAATATCTAAATAATTTAATATGTCACCAGATCAATTTTTTTATTTATTGAGATCAATTTTTCTGAGAAGTTTATTATTTAATTGCTTATTATTAGCCAATTAAAATACTTATGTAAATATTGCAAGAGCTTAATGCATAAAAAATTATTTATTTATACAGGGTGACAATTATGAGTGCCAAAACATGAATAGTCTCGTACCGAAAAGGGTTTGAGATATTTATATTAATGAAATGGCTAGAACAAGCAATTGCTTTGTTGTTGAAGATACAGTAGGGGTTACCAAAATGGGCAAAACCACTTCCACAGACGAGAAATACATGGAATAAAATGTGAAAGTGAAACTTGCTGTGAACTGAAGCCACCTCGTAACAAATAGAGAGGGAAAAAAGTCATTCAGTCAAATGTTCCATTTGAAAGGTCCCACTTCCTAAAAGCCCTTCTCCGACCTCTTTCTCTTTGCCACCAAAACTATATTATAATAATATATCCCTTTCGATGGAGGCCGGTGCCTTATGAATTGGAGATTCCATATCAATTCTTTCTGCTCCATTCTTTGAGCTTACAAAAGGAAAGGAAAAAAGAAAAAATAAGAAGAAAGAAAAAAAAGAAGAAAAAAAGCCCTCCATTCTTTTTGCTACAAAAGAATATTTGAATGTATAATTAACATTTAACACCACCATATCGAGTCAAGCAAGCACAGACATCCCTCCAATTCCAACAATGAGCCGCTTCAGTTTGGCTCTATTGGTGGTTTTGGTGATGTTTCTGTTTTCAAAGCCAATTCTTGCTAATGGCAGACCCCTTTCAAATACAAACCAGCAAGAAACTCCATCTGTATCAATGGATGCAACTTCAGTTTCCAAGTCTGCGGAGGAAGTGATGATGGGTAATGATCAAGTTTTGGAATCGGATGTAGAGTTCCCTATGGCTTCTGGACCAAGCAGAAAAGGCTCTGGCCATTAATCAACTTTCACTGGTTTGATATTTATTCTGAAATGTCACATGTAAGTAAGTAAGCTGTGTATGTAGTAGCTATACAGATCAGAGGTTTAGGCAAAGTGCATGTTTCAGGGAAATTCTTTGATTTTGTTAGGTGATGCACATAACAGCTATGGATGTTCTTCAACAAAATACATAAATAATATTATGTGTTCCAAAGTTATTGTCAGAGCCTATAGAAGAAAACTTGATCGTCTTTCATTTAGAAAGAGAAAATCTCAGAACGTATGTTTAGCTACTTCAGGGCTGACAGAAGTTTGTGTTTGTGTGTGTATATATATTTGTAACTTCTACATTCTATTATGCACAAATTAGCAAGACCGTGGTTTTGATTGTTTGGTTCATTCCATTTTCCCAAAAGCAGTTTCCAGGTTAATGTCACGAATTGGTGTTTTAGCCATATGGTAAAGGTAGAGAGAATCTTACAGTAGGCGTCAGGTTTTCTAATCTCAAACAGTAGTAATTCTCCTATTCTAATACAAAAGATGGTAAAATAATGAAAATAATTATCAGGAAAAGCTGGCAATCTGGGTTAGAACGATTCTAGGCTGAAGCTAACTCAGAGTTGAGACCAGGCTAACGCAAAAAAGGCCCAGAATTAGCTCCAGCCATGGGCTTTGTTTATGCTGGTGAACAACTTTAGATATATGCCTTTTCCCTTCCCTTCTTGGCACTTAAGAAACTTTCAGACACATAATCTCACTTTAACAGTTTAACCACTAATCAAAGCTATCAGCTGCTGTAAAAGGAAAGCATAGTCATGAGCCACAAATCAGTAGCCGTTCCTTTCTGCATCTCCTGCAGTAGATGAATTTGTTCTTTTCAATAAAGTTTAATTGCAAATAGCCTCTCAACTTGATTGTGATATTTTTTCTTTGCACAACTTAAATATGGGTAGATAATGCTTCGTAAGTCTAGCTACTGGAGAGGCATGAGACATGAGTAAGTTATCAATGATGGAAAAGGAAAGATTGACAGAGAGATTTATCTTCTCCTGCTCTTTAATTTATGGCATATAAAAGTGATTTTTGTAGATGAGTATATCTTGATCAACTTGTCTCGAGGCTATTGGTGAAGAAGTGTGCACTTAACATGCTATCTACAGCGTATAACTTTTGAAGTAGTTAGCTGGGAAAGAGCCTTTGTTTTTGACTGATAGTGAAATGCCAGTTTGTGGAAGTCATATTCCTTCAAAACAAGACTCAATGCTATCAATAGGCTTTTATCTATCTTGAATATGTTCTTTGTTACTTTCACGATAATCCATGTTTGGCCAAGAAAGAACCTTTCATAATAATCCATTTTTGATCAAGAAAGAACATTCAGACTTTCATTAAAAGTGTGTTGTGATTCTTTTCCAAGCAGAAATTGTTTTCTGTAGTAAGCAAAACAAGAACATTTTGCAGAAAAAGACAGTTCTGCTATTACAAACACTAATATACAATTTAAGAGCAGTGGTAAGCCAACATAAATTAACAAAAAGAGAACAACATAATTTAGAGGAAAATTGTACAGAGTATTGAGAAGTTAAATAAGCTTTTTAAGTCTGTTTACATCAATATCTATATCCATTATCTCGCATCATCAATTCTCAATTGGGAGAAAACTTCAGTTGCCCACATATTTGCACTATCCTCCCTTAATATGGGCATATCATCCTTATCAACTGATATGCTGAGGGACTGAAAAGATTGAATATTAGGCAAAGCTAACATAGCTGAAGCATCAGTTGTGCTGTCCTCGTGGGGCTCTCTCCGAATCGCTGTTTGTTGTAGTTGCAATGAATACTCCAAGTCCCACAGCACATCTCCCATAGCAGGCCTATCAGTTCCATATTCCTGCAAACATTTTTCTGCTATTTCAGCAAATTTTCTTAGAGAGTTAGGATTAATCTGATCCTTTATTAAGGGATCCACAATCTCTTCAAGTGTTCCTTGGTTTTTGCAAATCATCCCCCACTCAGCTAGATTTACTTGCTCCCTTGGAAGCAAGATATTAATTGCTGGTCTTGCACAAAGAACCTCAAGAAGAATTACACCAAAGGAGTAGACATCCGATTTTTCAGTCAATTGTTGAGTCCTGAAGTAATCAGGATCAAGATAACCAAAAGTTCCTTTAACACCTGTACTGACGTGAGTTTGATCAGGAGGACCCAATCTTGAAAGTCCAAAATCAGCAACTTTTGCAATAAGTTCTTCATCCAGTAAGATGTTAGTAGACTTAACATCTCGATGAATAAATCCCCCAGCTGAACCTCTATGGAGATAATGAAGACCGTTAGCTGCGCCAATGCAGATTTCAAGCCTTTGCCTCCAAGATAAGGAAGGAAAATTTGAATTATACAAGTGATCCTTCAATGTTCCCTTTTCCATGAATTCATAAACAAGTATCATTTCTGACATTTCATCACAGTATCCAATCAAAGATACAAGATGGCGATGGCGAATCTTGGATAGAACCATAATTTCTGTTTGGAATTCTGGTAGGCCTTGGCCTGATCCAGGGTCACTTCTTTTTACAGCAACTTTCAAGCCATTCCTTAGAGTTCCTCTAAAGACATGACCGAATCCACCCTTACCAACTATCAATTTCGCATCAAAGTTGTTTGTTGCATACAGAATTTCAGCAATAGATATCTTTAAGCCAAGTTTAAAGTCAGCTCCACGTGAGCCATTGGCAGTTCCCTCAGGCGTCCTACTGTGAGAACGTCCCCCTCTATGTACAGGCACTGATGACCAGTCCCAACTTTCAACTGATTTTGGTTTCCTCCATCTTAAACACAAGCATAAAACAACTGACAAAATGCAAAAAAGAGCTAAACCACCAAGAATTGAACCAACGACAACCAAGGTACGAGTTTTATTAGGCTTATGTGTTCTTGATACTGAACCAGACTCACCCAAAATCTTCATTATCTCCAACCCATTCAAAAAGGCAGTTTTCTCTTCAGAAACTCTGCTACTGCCTATGCTTATATTCATAAGTCCAGAACCACCAGAATCCACAACAAAATCAACATAAAAAGGAGCTGCCAACTGGTAAGTTTTTAAATCGGCATCAATTTCTTTACTAAAGTTGCCATAGATATACAAATTAAACACTAAAACCCCAAGAGATGGGCTAATTATGTTGCAAAAGTGAACCCTAACAAAATATCTAGCATTCTTGCTTACATTGAAAGACCATGTTACATTGAAGTTATATGGATCCCTACTGCTATTTATATTCATCTCCTTAGCAGTCTGATACACAAGATCTGGAGCAATATATTCGCTTTCTCCTGCCATATAATTAGGCTTATCTCCATGAAAATTACTATTCTTTGCAGTCTCTGGCAGATAGAGGTAATTATCATCAGGAACCCAATATCTCCATAGAGTGTCATTATCTGGTGTAAGTGTAGGGCCACCAACATTGATTCTATAAACTGTTCGTAAAGCCTGAGAGAGTATACCTTTATAAGTACTTCTAATACCCTCAACACTAACACATGCAGCACTCTCAGGAATGAAATTCTCAGGAGAAATGAACACTTCTATTGCATTAATAAATGCAAAAGATGAATCTTTAGGCAAGAATTGTATAATGAATTTGTCTGTACTGATACTAAGAAGGAATTCCTCTATTAGAGGAGTATTTCTACTATTTTCAATAGTGAAATTGCTCAACAAGGAAAACCCAGATGCCGAAACATCAAAAATAGCCGTGGAGAGATTAGCTGATAGGGAAGAGAAAGTAAAGAAGTGGAAACGTACCACATAAGTACCAAAGCTACTAATTTTGAATTCGTAAGAAGATTCTTGCCTAAAAACTCTAGCTGTTTGATACAGGGGTGGTGTTTCTGTTGAGTTGTTATTTTCTTTAACAGGACTGCTCTGCCCTTTGACTGCGAGAGAAGCAGAATTCAAGTCTCCGATGAAGTTCCGGCCAGTGGCGGAGATGCTGACATCTGAACCACAGTTGATGAAATACTCATCCGGAAGAGTGTAAGCTGAGGCGGAAAGGTGAAGTGAAAAGAAGAGGAGGAAAAACAGAAGAAGAGAGAAAGAAGAAAGGATTTTTTCCATGAGAATGGTAGGAATTAATTTCTCGTATTGTTGTAAATTGTAATGCAAACTGAGAATTGTGGAATTGGGAGTGGACAGACACGGTAGAAGTCTGATCAGTAACTGCTTTTTGGGAAAGAGAGAAGACTTCGTGACAGGTAGCGTAGACTTAATCATCAACCATGCAAATATAAAACTAAGAAAATTGAAAATTCAAAGCAAAACAGGAAGAGATAGGCGACACGGATTTGCCTTGAGCAGCGCAATACATGATGGGCTATTTGGACTCTGCCCCAACCCCATTTGGGCTGTAAGTTGTTTTCTTAGGGAAGGTTACAAGTCCAATTCTGCGTACGATACAAAAAGTATACAATTTGGACGGAATCACCAATAAGTTGACAGTAGAAGATTACATAAATGTATATGTGTATTTTTAAAAATATAGGGTAAAAATTGGTTTTTTTAGCAAGAATTTATATTTTACTCTACTTTATTAGCAAATTATTTATTCCACATGATGTGGCATCATTCCAGTTACCAACAAAATTTTTGCTAAATTCTGCTGATTATCACTCTGCAGAAAAAACAAAGCTCTAATTTGAAACAGTTTAACATTCAGTTCTTTATCTAATAAGCTCTTTCAGCTGATAATTAAACATTAATTAGTTCACCAATTGAAACATCAATAAAAGCTTACCATCTGCTCAATAAAGTTAAAAAATTACATTCAAGGCAGAAGGAATTAATTTGGACTCATCAGGAAAAAGGAAAAAAAATAAAAAATATACCCACTAGCTATCCTGAAACTGAGCTGTGAAGATTTATCTACCACAATCAATCCTTAGTTGTGAGAAAACCCCACTAGCCATTGTAACAGAAGCATCAGGACCTCCTAATACTGCAAATGAATTGTCTTCTTCGCCTGGAACTCTATGAGATGGTAGGTGGTTAACAGCTTGCAATGCCAACTCCAGAGAAGCAGTATTCATGCTGTCCTCATCTAACTCTCTTTGCATTGAGTTTTGTTGAAGCCTCAATGCAAATTCCAAATCCCACATCACATCATGCATCATAGGCCTTTCTGCACCACTTGCCCTCAAACATTTCTCTGCTGTTTCGCCAAATTTTCGTAATGAACTCGAGTTAATGGTCCCCATCAGAGAAGGATCAATGATTTTCTCAAGCTGACCTTTCCTCTGCCAAAGCATTCCCCACTCTGCTAAGTTCACCTCCTCCCTCCTATCGGATGTCATAATTACTGGTCTAGCACAAAGTACTTCAAGAAGTACTACTCCAAAAGAATATACATCAGATTTTTCTGTCAACTGTAATGACATAAAATATTCTGGATCAAGATAGCCAAAACTGCCTTTTACACCAGTATTTTCATCAGGATCAAGGGGACCTGACTTGGAAAGACCAAAATCAGCAACTTTAGCAATGTACTCTTCATTAAGCAAAATGTTTGTTGACTTAACATCACGGTGAATTATTCTGCTTGACAAGCCGGTATGCAAATAATGAAGTCCTTTTGCAGCATCAATGCAAATTTTAAGTCTTTGCTCCCAAGACAGTTTGGATTGCGAAGAATATTTTTCAGAGTTTTCTACTGAACTGTAAAGATGGTCTCTTAGAGTCCCCTTCTCCATAAATTCATAAACCAATATCATTTCATTTCTTTCATCACAGTATCCAATTAAGGAAACAAGATGGCGATGGCGAATTTGGGATAAGACCATGATTTCTGTTTGGAATTCCAAAATACCTTGACCATGACCTGGTTCACTTCTTTTAACTGCAACATTTACACCGTCACGGAGAGTTCCTTTGTAGACTTTTCCAAATCCACCCTCACCAATCAAGAATTTTGTATTGAAGTTCCTCGTTCCACGCTGTATTTCAGCATATGGTATTTTTAGTGCTAGTTTCAAGTCAGGAGCCAGAGAAATATTAGCAGTTCTTTCAGCCAACCAGTTGTGGGAGCTTCCTCCATAAAGAGGCACAGAAAATGGCACTCCTGAAGTTCTAGAAGCCTTTGCTCTCCTGTATTTCACAATCACCAACAAACCTACTATTAAAACCACAAGAAATAGCACAGAACCAATTGAACCAACCATAAAAGGCATCCTACTATTCTTCGTGGGTTCGTGCGATTTTTCCATCATTTCCATAATCTCCAGCCCATTCAAGAATGCATTTTTAGTTTCAGAATCCTTTCTTTGGTGCACGCTTATATTCATGAATCCAGAATTATCAGAGTCAACAACAAAGTCAAAGTAAAATGGAGCTGCAACTGACTGGGTGGCTTCGTAAGAGCTGATATTCTTACTAAAGTTGCTATAGATATTAAATTTGAACACAAGAACAGCAAGTCCTGTACTAATAATATCACAGAAATGTACCCGGACAAGGTGCCTCGAATTCTTGCTGACATGGAATCCCCACGTTATATTGGAAATATTTGAGCTCTTCAATTCTTTAGCAGTCCTATATACATGGTCTGGAGCAGAATATTCAGTTTCCTGTGGACCAGAAAGTAATTTGCCTTCAAAGAGTAAATGATTCTTTGCAGTTTCAGGATAAGACAAGAAATCATCATCAGGTATCCAATTTCTCCACAGGCTATCATTATTTTCTGTGACTTTGTCGCCTCCAACATTGATTCTGTGGATAGTATGCAAGCCTTGTTGGAGCAACCCACTATAATTGCCTCTCATTCCTGAAGGAGTGATATAAGTTGTATTATCAGGAATGAAGCTTTCTGGTGCAAGAAAGACTTCTATAGCATTTATAAAAGCTAAAGATGACTTATTGTATGGTATGAAGTGGATCATTAATTTTCTTGCATCAATTGTGAACAAGAATTCCTTAATCATAAGTGAATTACTCCTCGAGATACTAAAATTTGATAATAATAGAAATTCAGAAGCCCTGACATTGAATAAAGCACTGGTCAGGTTAGCATCTGAGGATGAAAAAGCAAAGAAATGAAGTCTTATTATGTATATTCCTTGTTCATCAATATCAAACTGATATGAAGAAGAGTGTCCTTGGAAAACTCTTGCAGTTTGATATAATGATGTGGTTGTAGATTGGTTGCTGTCCTTTACAGCTTTCCTTGAACCAAGTAAGTAAGGGGCATCACCAATAAAAGACCGCCCAGGTCCGAGGCTGGCTGGGGAGTCTGATCCACAATTGATGAAGTACTTATCAGGAAGAGTGTAACCTGAGGAGGGAAAAACAAGTGAATGTAATTGAATTAATATGATAAGGAACAGAATGATATGAAACTTGCAAGACTGAAACTTTTCCATCGAAATTGGTGGGAATTGTCGAGAAGTGAAGCTAATGGGTGTCCATGAGAGGGGAAAAAAGAAAGGTGTAGTGATGAACAATCGTGCATATCCTTACAAAATTAAAGTTGTTAAAGAAAGGACAAGACCGGAGTTTGAGTCGTAAATTATACATTATGGTTGAAATAATCAACCTGCTTTCACATGTTCACTGTTTATGATGGCTATTCAGTGGCCTGTTACTTCTTGATTAAAATGATTAATTAACATTATTAAGTAATATATGATGCATAATTAATTTACTTAAATTGATGTAAGTCTATTTCAGCTTTAGTTAAGACATTACTGAAATTGAAATATACTTAACAGGGTCACTTCAGCAAAAAAGCAGTATGAACAGATGTCACCATGGAAAGAAAAATGAAGCGTCAAAGAAAACATATTCTAAAGTTTTGGGCCCATACACCACTACCGGGCTCCTTTCCAGTTAGATTATTAGATTAATGAAATTAATCTTCCTTTTTTTATTTGCGCACTGAGAAAAGTCAGAGGCTTGCTTTTAGGAAAGTAGAAACCAATTATTTGTAGTGATAGCTATTACAAATAAATAACTATAATTAAGTAAATGTCATTGCCGTTTAATTTGTTTGCAAATCATATGCATAATTAATGAAGTTCAGAACCATTTCTCTTAAGACCCTTGAGTGCACGTGGATTTCAAAGCCCAACATTTAAGAGTGAAAGGAGCGCAAAGCCCACCTTAACCTTGCAAAGCCCAGAATGGAAATCCACCAAAACCGAAAACCAAAGGAAACCGAGCAAGCGGTTTTTGACACAGCCCCTAGTTTTTTACATCATCCAGGTATATGAAACAAAACTGCCAATATAAAATCGGGAAAGATTTATAGCTGGTAGCGTCTCCAAGGGACATTAGCATAGGCAAGACAGAGAGAAGAGAAGCACTAACAAAGAAACTCGGAAGATGGTGGATCAATGGACTGTGACAAAGCCAAGCAGAAGCGACGAGATTTTGGATGCCAATGATCAGCTCGAAATCGCCAAAAAAGTGAGAGCTCAATTCGATTCTATTGCTCCAAAACGACCTGCAAAACCAAATAGAAGTGAATCAGACATAACAACACGAACCCCTCCTCTTTCTGACGCTGACCAACGCGATATTCCCGAGCTTGAGAGGCTTCGATCTCTTCAATCCCAATCTATATCTCCTGTACCTATACTTTCACTCCCTTTTCTTTGACATTTTGCTCATATACAATACTATGAATGATCTTATATATTTTCCAGATCGTATTCTCTAAAGAAGGGGTCAACATTGAGCAAGATGAGTTTGTGGAGACGCAGTACTATAAAGAGTTGGATTCTATTGACAAGCAGCACTACACGGTTCTGTTTCAATTATTTCCTTTCCCTTTTATTTATTTATTTATTATTATTATTATTATTTTTTATGTGTTTGTGTGTTTTTGAATGCCTTATGATTGGTTTTTGTGATTGAACAGACAGGGAGTGGATTCATAAGGGCTGCGAAAGAAGAAAATGAAAATGGATATTATATTCAATTGCCAAGAGGTCATGGGGATGCTGCTACTCTGGTCTCAGGTTGCAGAAGCAATCCCGCAACAAACGACTGGACTCCTAGCCCACACGACAGTCAGGTTAGGTGTCTATTCTTAGAAATTAACCCAGAAGTTATTGAGATTCGATATAACTGAATGCTAAAACAATAATTTCTTCCTCTTATTCTTCAATCTTCATCTTTGATTTGCAGGGCTTTGTTTCTTGCAAGCCAAATCGGAGTGAGGGCATCTAGAACAGCAACACACAGAGAGACAAACTGCATAGACTTTTGATTTAAAATATTATTATTGTATCTGTAATAGTAAGTTTGGATAAGGATAGGTTTGGTGGATTTTGCTTAAATTATTCTTATTCTGAAGTGACTTCATACCAACTATACAACTTCTGCTACCTCCTACATTTTTTTTAATGCAGAGTCATGATTTTCTATAATAAAAATCAAAATATCAGAATAGTCCAATAAATAGACAAAAAAAATTTGACATTTCTTAATTTTCAATAATTTTTACAATTCCCGCAATATCTCCAATACTAAAAGAAAAGCCATATGAAGGAGGAACTGGTTTCCTAGATGCCCTTGCTAGGGTGGAAAAGTAGAATCAAGAGAATATGTCCACATACCAAATATTCAAATGTAGCTGAAAATTTTGATTAGAACTCAGTTGACTGAAATGCAAAATAAAAGAGAAAGACTCGTTCCATTTGCCTAATCAACGCATTCATTTGTGTTTCTATTCAAAATCAATTGAAAACCACCTCATTTACATTTATTCGCACAGGAATGCAAAATCAAAAGAAATCCCAATAAATCAAATCTCAAATTCACAAATCGCAGCCCAAAAGGCAGAAACAAATCTATGGCAACCGCATTGCAATCTATCAAACTCTATAACCGAAAATTCATCCATTAATAATAACAATTAATCAAGCAAGCAATCACATTTCTAAGATGGAATATTTTCCTCACTAGAAACAGAACCGTCTTGCTGTTTTCTTGCCTGATTCTTGACCATTTCGAGCAATCTCTTGCTGATCTCCTTAGAATAAACTTGAAGGATCTCGATTCCACGACAGGCATCATCCTCAACGCCGGAAACGGCGGCGGCGCGAAAAGAATCTTCCTCGATGACTTTGGCTGTTGCGACGGCCTCTTCCAACGGAAACGTACCGTAGCGGTTAGTGAAGGATGATGGAGAAGAGAGGGTATCGGTGAGGTGTTTAATGACGACGTCGCGTGTTTTCTGCGACGGTGGCCAAATGCGGAGAGAGAAACTTGGCATTTCTGGTGATTGAGGATGGTCTTGTAGTTGGTGCTTTTCAGTTTCTGCCATTTTCTCTGTTCTGGTGGACCTCGCAGAGTCTGTTGGAGTGGAATTTGTATAATGCACTATTACTACATGTATTATTATATTTAGGTTTGTGGAAAGCTGGACTTATCCATGGGCCCGTGGCCCATAACTAGTAAGTAATGATTCACGACTCATGATCTCATATGTAACTATAACAATGTGTGGTTCATCAATTCAATTACTTAATTTTTAGATTTGAATAACTTAATGATAATTAATTAATTTATAATAATTAACTAAAGAATACTGATATCAATATTTGGTGGGATAAGTGGGAGCGAATTGCATCTCCCGACGAATATTACTTGAAAAATTGACATTATTACAAGAATATTACTCTTGGTCTAAACGTGAAAATACGTGTAAAAAAATGGATATTTTTAGTAATTAATGAATTTTCATATGGTAAACTATTATATATATATGACTTTATTTTGATTGTGAATATTAACAAATCACTTAAAAAAGAAGACCCTTTTTAATGACCCAAAATCAAAGTTAGGAGGATAATTCAACTGTGTTCTATTTTGGATTTTTTTTTTTTTTTTTTTCCTATGGTAATGACTATTATATATATATGGACTTTATTTTGATTGGTGAATATTTAACAAATCACTTAAAAAAGAAGACCCTTTTTAATTGACCAAATCAAAGTTTAGGAGGTTATAATTCAACTGTGTTCTATTTTGCAGATTTTTTTTTTTTTTTTTTTCATTGTTTGCCTTCACAAAAGATATTTTGGATTTTTTTTTTTTTTTTTTCATTGTTTGCTTCACAAAGAAGAGTACACTTTCATTATTTCACGTGCTTTGCACATGACTTCTAGTGGAATAGCCTTTGGCATGGAGAGCCCAATCCCTTCAGTCATATCAATTTCTTTACCATCTACTCTTTCCCATTCAAAACATTGGATCATACAACCCAAAGCAAAGCCCACAACCTTATTGGCAAGGCCCATTCCAGGACATGTCCTTCTGCCATGACCAAATGGCATGAACTTGTAGCAATATGCATCACTTTCACCTTCTTCGAATCTCTCAGGCTTGAATTTCTCTGCATCATTCCATAAATTAGGGTTTCTATGTATAGCCCATGCATTAACCAATACAATTGTATTCTTTGATACATTATATCCTTCAATAGTGCAATCCTTGCTTGATAAATGAGGAAGAAGCAATGGGCCTGCTGGATATAATCTAAGAGTCTCAGATATAATATTTTGAAGATAAAATAATTTTGAAATATCTAACTCATCCATTAAACTTTCTTGCCCAATTTTAATGTCTAGCTCATCTTTAGCTTTCTCTAGCACTTGTGGGTTTTTGAGCAGGCTTGATAATGCCCATTCTATTGTAAGAGCTGACGATTCTGTCCCACCAAATATGATATCCTGTACATTTGAAAATCTTACCATAAGTTCTATTATAGAAAATGTCATTATAATTCATATATTAACTGACGTATGTATCAAAACAAATCATCTTGATTAATAATATTAAAAAAAATTGTATCTAAAAATACTATAGCAGCATCAATGATTGTTTTTTCTACGATTGGAGTTCGAGTCTTCTCAACTAAAAATATTTGAATGTTATTCAAGAAGGAGGACTTTAGGCTCCGTTTATTTCTGTAAAGTAACTTACAGGAAAATATTTACCACAATTTTCCGTTGTTTGGGACATTTAAAAAAATAAGTCAACTGAAAATATTTTCCTGAACAAAGAAAAATTAAATCATTTAAAAAAAAAAAAAAAAAACAACTTTCCATTTTCAACAGAGTAATAATTTATTAATCATCATAGTCACTATTACTAGTCACCATTTACCACCGGCCACCACCGCGGCCACCGCTGACTTTTATAATTTACATTTTTTCATTCTTCTTATATTTAACAATAAAATTTTAAAATTTCTATAATTATTAATATTTTTTTATGGTCATATGAGATAAAAACTTTAATATTTTTAGCTAATTTTCAATATTATAATCAAACAACGCAAAATAAGTAATTTAGAAAATATTATTCAAAAAAAAATATTTTTCATGCAAAATATTTTTTAAATTACTTATTTTTCTGCGAGTTATATTATAGAAACAAACAGACATAAATGTTTTCTTGGTTCATTTGGCCTCCCATATATAAAAAATACTATTAACCAATAAAAGTAAAGTTCTACTTTCTTACCCAACAAGTGTGAATGGATAAAGCTTAATCCGAAAGCTGTATAATGATGACTAATCTTTTTAATCCATCTACAATTAAGTGATTAATATAATAAAGGCCGTGTAATTATTTCTATCATAATTCATAAAGAAAATATTATTTTGACCATTTTTTATAATAAAAACATATGCAACTTGTTGTTTGTCATTTATACATATTACAGCCAATACAGCAACAGCCAATTTCCACCAACTCATGTATAATTGTTTGACTTTTTTTTTTTTTTAATTTTTTATTTGCAATTAGACATATAATTAACTTAATGGAGATAATTAATCCAATTTTTAATAGAAAAATAAAAATATGTTTTCTCATGCTCTATTTCATGGAAAAATAAAGTGGAGGAATTTCTAATTTAAAACTGGGTTGGATCTGCAAATGGTGATATCATATGGAGTTACCATTTTGGAAAGGAATTTTCTGAGTACTAATCTCAATAGAGTGTTAAAAAAAAAAAAATTGAATTAACTGTAAAAATGTAGAAATTAAAAGATTAATTTCACTCACCAATATAAAGCCCTTGACGATCTCATCAGTATAATATTCAGGTTGCGATTCTTGCAAAGAAAGAAGATGACTGATCATTGATTTATTACTGCTATTTTGATCATTTCTTTGTCTATCAATAAGACCTTGCAATAACTCATCAGTTCTCCTAGCAAGTGCTTTCACTTTCTTCACATAACCTTGAAAATCAATCCATTGTAAAAATGGCAAGAAATCCCCAGGATATGAAGCCTCTGCATATGCAAAGATCTCCCTTATCATTTCTCTAAATTTTCTTGCCTCTTCAACGTCATAATTACCATACCTCTTTCCTGTAACCATTCGCATAATTATATTGAACGTTAGCTCTGAAAGCAAAGGTCTCATCTCTACTTTACTAAAACCATCACAGCAAGCTTGATTTAGCTTTTGAAGGAAAATTCTTATCTCTTCTCTTCTAATGCCAAGAAACGTATCTAGGCGTTTCGCTGAGAAAATTTCAAGAGCACTTATACGGCGGAGGTTACGCCAATGATCCCCGTATGGGGCGGTTACTAGAGTGGTATGATTGTAATTTAAGTACTTTCCCATTAGTAAAGGAGGGCGATTAGCTAGAACGATGTCGTTCTTAGTGAAGCATTCTTCTACAGCTGATGGTGATGAGATGATGATCATAGGGTAAGATCCACAACGGAGAGAGAAAATTGAACCGTACTTTTGAGAAAGATTTTGGAGATTTCTATGAATGGGTTGTTTAAAAAGATGAAGATGACCTATAACTGGAAGAGCAGGAGGAGTTGGTGGGAGTTTTAGTTGTGTTCTTTTATTATGTGACCAGAGCTTGAACAATAGAAATAGAAAAGATAAAACAGAAACTATAGGTAAGAAACCTTCCATGGTTCAATTCAGTTGTAGTGTGTTGTAATTTTATGTGCTGATTATGTATATATAAAAGAAGAAAGGGTTTGCATATCTATGAGTAGATATTGTATTTGTTTGGAGTTTAAACAATGAAAATGTAAAAGTTGACTTTAGTGATTTACCGGCGGCGGATATTTCTAGTTTATGGCTATGGTGGGCGGCTCGGTTCATTCAACAGCTATCTCGATAAGTTAAATTACTCTCTATTGTATATAAATATGAAAATAGGGAGCATAATGAATTTTTTAACCGCGTATTAATAAAATTTAAATATATCTAATCATGATTAATTAATAAAATTATATTTTATTAGTTAATGAGATACAATTTATTAAAATTATTTTTTGAATAAATAGATAGAGATAATTAAGCAATTTTATGTTTTATCTTTTAAATATTTATTTTTTAAAATATTTGATAATGTTTTTATTATAATTTAGAATATTTTATTTAGGATAGAGATAAAAAAGAATAGAAAAAAAGTATATTTTTTATTTTTTTTCTTTATGTTTATATAATTTGATTGGATATATATTTTTAAAATAAATTTTCAAATAGAATATGCATAATTAAATATTTCAAAAATTTTAAATTTAACTTTTAAAATTTATTTTTAAATAAAATAATAGAATATGCGATAATTAAATATTTTTCAAAAATTTTAAATTTAACTTTTAAATTTAAAATTTATTTTTAAATTAAATAAACATGTGTAGAGTGATGAAGAGTTGAAAATTTTTAATTTTAAGAATATATATAATATTTTATTATTTATATCGTATATATATTGAAACATGTTGATATTTACGTTAGAACAATTAATTAAAGAATTTTAAATAATGATATATATAATATATATATATAATATAAATATTATAATATATAGCTATATTATTATATATATATATTATACACGTGCTGTTATTTATTAATTAATCGCTTATATTCACTTTAACTTTCTTCATCGTACCTATATATATTATATATATACACGTGCTGTTATTTTATTAATTAATCGTTATATTCACTTTAACTCTTCATCGTATATATATATATATATTGAACTGAAATGTATATATATATACGTACTGCTATTTTATTAATTAATCGTTATATTTACTTTAACCATCAATATTGAGATAGTATTATATTAAAGCTTATCTCTTGTTATCATCTTATTAATAAAGCTTAATTTTCCTTTAAAAAAAAAAAACTTGTGATAAAAAGACTAACATTGACTTTAGATTTTTAGCAATGGGACTCCGCAAACGTAAAATGGAACTAACGTGACGGACGACACATACAATACGAGTCTTATTTATGGCCACAACTTACTAAGGTCAAGCATGCTGAGTTCTTTATGGATGACATCACGTGCTTTGCATATGGCCACCAGTGGCTTACACTTTGACACGGTGAATCCTATCGCTTCACTCATGTCAATCTCCTCACCTTCCATTCTTTTCCATTCAAAGCATTGGATCATTGACCCTAAAGCAAAGGCCGTAGCCCTATTTGCAAGCCCCATTCCAAGGCAGGCCCTCCTGCCAAGTCCGAATGGCAGGAACTTGTCTTGTAAGCCTCATCTTTATCTCCTTCAAATCTCTCAGGCTAAAATGTCGATGCATCATCCCATAATTTAGGGGTTCTGTGTAAAGCCCATGCATTAACAGCAAGAACTGTATTTTTTGGCACATAATATCCTCCAACTCTGCAGTCTTCGTTCGACATGTATGGAAGAAGCAGTGGACCTGTTGGGTATAATCGAAGACATTCTGATATAATATTTTGCAGATAGGGTAAATTGGAAATATCAGATTCTTCTATCAATCTTTCTTGACCAATTTTACTATCCAACTCTTTTTTAGCTTTCTCTAGCATTTGTTGGTTGTTGAGCAACTTAGACATCGTCCATTCCATTGTAGTAATTGACGATTCTGTGCCAGCTGATATAATATCCTGCACATGTTATTAAAAAGTTAAATATAGATAAAACAATTTTATTATAAAATATGTTTACTATTAATATTTCAGTACCGACCATTATAAGTGCCTTGATGATTTCATCAGTATAATATTCCAGCTCCAATTGTCGCAAAGAAAGCAGATGGCCGATCACTGAGTCATTGCTGCCTTTTTTATCATTTTTCTGTTCATCAATAAGTTGTTGCATCAACTCATAACTTGTCTTAGCAAGTTGTTTCACTTTCTTTAAATTCCCTTTAGCATCAACCCATTGTAAAATTGGCAAGAAAAATCCTGAATATGAAACCTCTGTATACCTAAAAATCTCATTTACCAATACCTTACTTTCACAATACCTCTTTCCTGTAATCATTCGCATCATTATATTAAACACTAGCTCTGAAAGTAAAGGTTTAATCTCTACTTTATCAGAACCATCGTTACAAACTTTGTAAATATTTTTAAGGAAAATTCTTATCTCTTCTCTTCGAATGCCTATAAACCCATTAAGGCGATTCGTTGAGAAATTTCAAGAGTACCTATGCGACGTAGCTGACGCCAATGTTCGCCGTACGGCGATGTTATGAGGGTGTTTAAGTTTTGATCGTAGATTACGTTCTTCCCTATGGTTAGAAAAGGGCGATTGGCAAAGATGATGTCTTTTTTGGTGAAGCATTCTTAGACAAATGATGGTGATGAGACGACGATCATAAAGCGTGAACCGCATTGGAGAGAGAAGATTGAACCGTATGTTTTAGAAAGATTGTCTAGTGTTCGATGAAGAGGTTGCTTGAGAAGATAGAGATGACCTATAACCGGTAGAGCAGGTGACTTGGAGGGAGTTTCGTGTTATGTGATGTTGTATATGACCAAAGCTTCAAACTTAGCAGAAGAAAAATGAAGGATAAAGAGCAAACTAATAACATCGTATTTTCCATGCTAAAAGTCTTGCAAGTTTCTATTACTGATTTTTCTAGTATATATAGGTTTAAGTGCGGATGTAAATGAGCCGCGCTTCACCTACCAAGTTTAAAATTCAGCTTCATAGAATTTAATTCAGTTTGAAATTTAACCGGTCTAAAAATTTTAAAATTGTGTAAAAATTTTAGAATTGTGTTCTGTTTACCTAATAATGTGATATATATATATATATAAAAGCTCGATAAGACACAACGAGCTTCTGAAATGAACATCATTAAGTTCAAGCTCGAATTCAAGCCGAACTTTTTCGAGCCGGCTTGACTCATTTACACCCCACTTTACTATTCTGGTTTGTAAGTAGGGTTATTTTTTGAAAAATTATAATTTTGTCCCTAGAGTTTGCTATTAATTATTAGTTTGTTTTTATATTTTAAAAAATACACTACAATCTCTTTGATTACACAATGGAATTTCTTTACTTAATTCATGCTCGGTAATAACTTTTTAAGTCAAAACACTAAATGCTACTTTTTTGTATACTGTTCGGTAACATAACGTTTGGATTAGTTTTTAGAGGTTAAAGTAGTGTTTTGTAAAAAGTTTTAGCGTTTCATGAAAAGCTACTCCAACAATTAACTACTAAACGCTACTCAAACAACTAACGGCTACTAAAACAGTTAATTTTGCCGAATAGCCCCTAGCATGAAGTGCATTACTAATTAAAATAGGAGTTTTATAACTTGTGAGTAACCAAATTAGACCTCAAACTTAAGAACCAGAGAATCCAATATCATCCTCGGAAGTTTTTTGTGTTTGCTTCTGATCTGATTAAAGCAAGAAGAAGAAAAGCCCAATACGGAAATTTTAATATTTTGTCTCAATTGTGAATTATAAGTAATTGAATTGCAATTAATGCTTGCAATCCAAAGAATCTAAGTTGGATTTGATTTTTGGACAGTAGAGTGAGGTTGGACAAAAATTGTCGAACTTTCGTGGCATTTTAGGTGCTATAAAAGGCAAATTCAGTTTGAAGATGGTCCATGTCTGAAAATTTTAGCGTTCATTTAATGGACAGTTTTTTCCATTCTTGAATTGTTTCTATTTCTTTTTAAAGAGAGAGCGACTTTCATTAATTCAATAGAAATTACCAACACAACGACGAAAAAGATTATCCGAAAATTGAAAACAAGCATGAAGAATAGATGTTCTAGCTAATAAGTGAACATCCATATTTGTTTTTCTTCTAAACCACTTGACCTTAATATTAAGCCTGAAATCTAAAATATATTCTTAGAATCCCGTGAATCTGAATTCAGAATTATCTAAAGAAAAAGAACTAGGAGCATTGATAAGTTTTTGACAGATCCCAAAAAACACACCCCTTGAAAGGTAAATAATTTCTTTCATAGAGTAAACAAGTCCTGAGCGCGATTGATTCCACGACAGCAGGATCACTGTTGCCTTCTTGGAAACCTGAAATGGCTCGTTGGAAGTTTCATTCACTGTCCTCTGTCGCGAACCCATAGCCAATCATGTCCGAAGCAGCAAATAATGCACCATAGACAAACAACAGCCACTCATAATTTGAATTAAAAATAGACAGTCATGCGTGAGAATGATGCATGATGGTAGACGTGGAACTAGATGAAACAGTTGCTACATAGATCCAAATGCCTCCACTCATTAGTGTATCTCGAAGTTGCAACGAAGACTGTGGGTCCTGAATATATATGGCACAACCTAAGAGGGGGTGAATTGGGTTTTCTAAAAAACTGAAATAAATTTTAGAAATTCTAAACAAGAATTAGAATTCTAAGTGCAGCGGATAAACAATAATTAGAATTTAAGTGCAGCGGAAAAACACGCAGAACTTTGTGAGGAGTAGAATAATGGATTAAGAATTTCCTCACAATATTTTTTCTATTTTAGATGAAAGTCTGTGCAAGTGCAGCTATGATTAGAAAGCCTTCAACACTGACTTGTACAATATCAGAGCTTCTTTATGAAGGAAAGTTATTGAACTCAGAACTTTCCTCATAAAGGTTTTGCAAACCATATAACACTATGTGAAAGTAGTTTATTAGGAACTTTTCACAGAAGTCTTAATCAAATGTAAAGTAAGTAACTTTATGATTGAAGAGTTATCAGGATTAGAACATCCTTTCATAAAGTTTAGAAACAAAATAGAACCCAAATCAGTATAATACTGGAAATAGAACAATTAGTGAACATTGTATATTCACTATATTAGAAATACCAGAGTTCTACTTTAGAATAGATGAACTTTATGTCGTTTTTAGATAGAACATCCTTGGAATATTAACAATTTCAGCGTTTCAAAAAAAAAATAAAATTAAGAGTGTGAAAGAGACAGTATCAACCAAACTTCAGAAATAAAAAGATCAACACCGAGAGTTATAGTGGTTCTGGCACTAACTCGCCTACATAACTCTCCAAGGACGCATCTTGGAATCCTCCACTAAGTTATCTCTTTTAAAGGGTAAGAACAAACCAACAGTACAAAGGGCAAATTAGATCACAACCTAGATCTACCCGTTTTGTCCCACTAGATTTTCAAAGTTCTAGTTAACCTTCAACCTTTTTCTGTTTTTGGTAGAGTCAGAAAACTCAATTCAAGACATTGCTATCCCACACATTGGAAGGTTCGCTGATAACCATCTATCTCAATAGCTTCTAACCTAAGCTATTACACTCAAAAGTTTTAACAAATAAGAGAGCCTTGTCTACTGTAGAATTACAGATTTCTAAATAGACAGAAAAAATTGCCTATATAAGCACATGAAAAACAGTTTTATCAGATTAGAAGGTCGATTAGAACACAGAACTGTTTTCAAAATGTACTGTTAAAAATTCTTTCTTCCTTAAATATGAAAACGTTAAGGTATAGAGATGAAAAGAAATGGGAGTCTAGAGTAAGTGTTTTGAGAGAAAAAGATTCCGTTCAATGAGAGAGAGTGCTCTTAAAACAATTTACTCTTACTCACCAAAAGGGCGTGAGTGTTCCTTATATATAGGAAACAAGGAAGCTGTCACCTTTTGGAAAAGATGAAAACAGAATATTCTTCTTTCCTTTATTTTAGAAGATGTTGAGAATCTTTTGTTACCAAAATTAATTCATCCTTTTTGGTAAGAGAATAAAACCCGATTTTTACTTTCCTTAGAAAAGATTTTGACTTAGCATCTTATTTTGGAAGATTTATTTCGCGCGAAAGATGCACTTTCCAAAACGAAAGAGATTTCCCTTTCATTTTAAGGTAAGATAACTTGGAAACACCTTAGATCTTTCAAAATTATTTCCGAAAGAGTAAATGATTTTATTCCAAAAACATTAGAGAAGAAAATCTCTTTTAGTTTTTAGGAAAAATAAATCTTTCATTAAAAGAATATTTTCGAAAAAATAAAATAAAAGAATTTATTTTTTGAAAAATCTAATTTCCGAAAAGTACTTTGAGAGAGAACAAAATTTTTGGTGCTCCATATGTAACCTTTTCTCTCTATCCCCCCCTCCACTTACAAAAGTTTTCCTAAATGCCTAGATTACTAGATCTTCGAAATCTTCACTCTTCAATGTAGACTTGCCTATGTTATAATTTCTTTCCAACTTTCCAAAGAAATTCTGCATAAAATAAAATTAGCACAAATAATATAATTTAAATTTATTTGTTTTGTAATAATCATCAAAATCCAAAATAAGTATTTTGACCCTTGAGCCAACAAAGACATCAGCAGAAGAGCACCATTTTTGTTCCCACAGTAGCTGGTTTCTAGTTGGCCAAAGCTTCCAGGCCAGAATCGCTAGAAACTCAGTATCGGCTTTTTCTTTATGATTTAATACCTGTTCCGGGTTATTTTTAAGAACCGAATTGGATTTGAACCAAAATCTTACTGGAACCAAGAGGGATCACATAATAGCCGGACTTGACGGTGTAAATTCCCTTCGTATTAAAGTTCCACATGAGAGAATTCCTCCTGTCGAAAAAACTAAGAGGGATCCCAATGATAACTCTTATACCTCTAAATTTAAGATCTGAAGTTTAAGCCATAAATTTTCAAAATTTTGAAATTAGTACAAAGTTTATAAACCTTAATGTACTAAACCATTTTAAGTAAATTCAACTTATTTGATACTTCAAGTGGTGAAATTTAACTTTATTTATCTTTTATTCCTCAAATAACAAAAAAAACTTTATTTATCTCTTAAACCACCAATAAGCTTCTTTTTTTTTTTTAATTTTTATTAATGAAGCAATTAAATTTTAGATTTTTTTTTTTTTTTAAATTTTTTATAGAAAGGTCCAATGAGTCAAGATAGTGTAATGAGCTATATAATAAGAAGCATTTTTCTTTTTAGAGTATCAAAATGGTAAAAATTCTTGAAATCACCGGGACTCGAACTCTCCACATAAATAAGAAAATCTACCAACTATATTGACAATTAAATTTTAATTTTATTTACCATTTAAAAAAACCAACAATTTCATTTTTGAATCAAACGAAAAAATGTAACATTTTCTATTTTAAATATATCCCAATTTTGCAAAGACAGTTAATGCTATTTCAAAATTTAAACATAAGGACAAAGTTTAGTTATTTAACCAAATAGATTGATACTAAATATCAAAGGCCTGTTTGTTTAGCTATTTATGATACCTGGTAACTAATAGCTATCGATTGATCTCTTTCCTTGAATTGGTATTTTGAATTTGCTTTTAGGTTGGTTATTGAAAATGTTCTAAAAAGGATTTTTTTTTTTTTTCTTATTTTGTGTCATTTGCACTTTAAAATACATAACAGTAACAGTTTTTGCTGGGATTGGCAGTCATTATTTTTATTTCACACTATCTTGTTTAGGATTGGGCGTGCTCTGCACATGGCTTCTAATGGCTTAGCCTTAGGCATAATAAGTCCTCTGCCTTCTACCATGTCAACTTCTTCTTCAGTGGTCCTTTTCCACTCAAAGCATTGAATCAATAACCCCAAAGTTAAACCCATCAGACGATGGGCTAATCCATCTCCTGGACAAGATCTTCTTCCCAATCCAAATGGCATGAGTTTAAAGTTCTCTTCTTCTCCATTGCCAAATCTCTCTGGTTTATAACTTGATGGATCATCCCATTGTGTAGGATCTCTGTGTATAGCCCATGCATTTACCAATAGTATAGTGCCACGCGGCACGTCGTATCCTCCAATGGTGGAATCATCCGATGACATGTGAGGAACTAAAAGCGGAGCTGCAGGGTATAGCCTAAGCGTCTCCAAGATAATCTTTTGAAGGTATGGTAATTTTGATAGATCAGACTCATCTATTAAGCAATCTTGCCCAATTTGATTGTCTATTTCATCTCTAGCCCGCCTTAGTTTGCTTGGATGATTGAGTAGATTAGACATTGCCCATTCTAATGTTACTGAAGATGTATCAGTTCCTGCAAACAGAATGTTCTGTACAATGGACATTGAAAATATAAATTAAAAGGTTGCAGAGAAGAGAAAGAAACAGAGGAGAGAAACAGAGCACCAACCAGCACAAGCCCTTTGATAATCTCATCAGTGTAATACCCAGGCTCCGATTCTTGCAAAGAAAGAAGATGATCAACCATCGTATTGATACTCTCTAAATGATCCTTCTTACTTCTATGTTCATCAATCAAATCTTGCAAGAATTTATCAATTTGTTTTCCAAGTCTCTTCACCTTCTTCTCAAACCTACCACCATCAATCCAATTCAGAAATGGCAAAAAATCTATTGGATTCGATGCCCCTGCATAAGAAATTATTTCACACATCATCTCTCTAAATTGTCTCGCCTCTTCTTCATCGCTCACATCTTCTCCATAATATCTCTTGCCGGCAATCATTCTCACCATTACATTAAACGTTAGCTCTTTAAACATCGATTTCAATTCTACTTCAGCAAAATTTTGAACCGACCCATGAGATAGCTTTACAATTAGTCTTTGTATTTCATCTTTCCTTACGCTTAGAAACTTGTTTAATCGATGCGTTGAGAAGATGTCAATGGTCGCAATACGGCGGAGGTTTCGCCAGTGGCTGCCGTAAGAGGATTGAGCCATGGTGGTGTTATTATAAGCTATGTGCTTGCCTATTAGAAATTCTGGACGGTTGGCTAAAACGATATCATTTTTGGTGAAGCATTCTTCCACAGCTGATGATGATGAGACTACGATTACAAGGCGAAGACCAAACCGGAGAGAAATGATTGGACCGTATTTTTGAGCGAGACTGTGGAGAGTCCGGTGCATGGGCGGTTTTAGGAGATGGAGGTGGCCGATGATCGGAAGGGAAAGTGGACCAGGGGGCAGGTTTTTCAGGCATATCCTCGATCGGTGAAGTCTAAAAGCAAAGATGAGAATGATAGCAGAAAGAAACAAGTAAGTGACTGTGTCTTCCATTTCCATGCTTAATTATCCTTGCTTTCTTTGCTTTGTTTGATCCTTTCTGGGTTGAAGCATATATCAAGGATGGTGAAATTATAATTAAATAGGGCGACGGAAATTTCTATCTACACCCTCGACATTTTCAGTTTTCCATGTGCAAAGAATTGATTAAAACTTTAACAAAAATAAAATAAATATATAACCATGCTAAACTAAAAACAAAAATGATTAAGCTCGTAAAAACTGCTTGTTAACAATTCTAGACTCTGACTTGAAAAAAACTCCTCGTTGGGCAATTTTAACGAGTTAATTGATTTTGAGTCTAAAAAGAGGTAATTTTTCTTTACTTTGAATTAGAGTTTTATTTTCAAATTTAGAATCTAGCTCGAGCATGAGTGTTTTTCTGTTGAGTCAAGCCCCAACTTGATAGTACTTGACTTAATTTAACTAATTTACAATTCTAAAATATTACAACTCTAAAATATGAATATAAGTTTATATTAAACTTTTGATCTCATAGTCACAAAGATGGTCCTTTGAATTCAAACTCTTTTTTTTTTTTTTTTTTACATATTGGGTTTAGGAGTTTCAGGAAGGGAGATTCAAATTTGAATCGATTGTCAAATTATATATAAAGTTACCGCATTAGATTATGCAACTCAAGCATATTTTACTATTAAAATTGCCTTATATGAAATTCACTATAAAAAGTAAAGTAGTTGAACAACTCAAACATTGAAAGTAAAAATTTAAAAACCAAAATTTTCCACGGTTTATTTTGTATATTTAATTAGACTATAACTATATTTTGAGCTTATAAACTTAACAACAATATAGCATTATTCAACTAAAATTTACTGATTTTTCTTTGTTGCCTTACATCAAACAGGCTGAGACAATGTCTGTTTCATAATCGGGCGTGCCTTGCACATGGCCTCGAGTGGTTCAGCTATAGGCATAGTAAGCCCTCTGCCTTCTACCATGTCTACCTCTTCCTCAGTTACCCTTTTCCACTCAAAGCATTGAATCAGTGTCCCCAAAGCTAAACCCACCACACGATTGGCTAGTCCTGCTCCCGGACAAGACCTTCTCCCTAATCCAAATGGCATTAGCTTAAAACTCTCTCCTTCTCCATTATCAAATCTCTCTGGTTTAAAACTTAATGGATCATCCCATAACGTAGGATCTCTATGTATAGCCCATGCATTGACCAACAGCATGGTGCCACGCGGCACGTTGTACCCTCCAATTGTGCAATCATCTGAGGACATGTGAGGAGCTAAAAGAGGAGCTGCTGGGTACAGTCGAAGAGATTCAGATATGATGTTTTTAAGGTATGGTAATTTGGAAAAATCAGACTCATCCAATAAGCAATCTTCCCCAATTTGAGTTTCTATTTCATCTCTTGCCTTGTTTAGTATGCTTGGATGGTTGAGTAGATTAGACATCGCCCATTCTAATGTCACTGCTGATGTGTCAGTTCCTGCAAAAATCATGTTCTGCATGACAATAGAACAAAAATAAATCAAAAAAATGAGTGTGAGAAACATGTATGAATATAATTTTCACACTGTAAATACTTTAGTTTTATCATATTGTAATTAAATAGGTAGGAGTAAACTGTACGTTTGTAAAATGAGTGTGAAAAACATGTATAAAGCAAGTATTATAAATAATAATAAAAAAAAGCTTCAATATATATATATTTATATTTATATATATTGCCTTTTAAGAAAGACTTCCGTTCTCTTGCTGTCTTTTTACCTATTATTAAGTCAATGGTAATTGTTCGTAAATTGAGTGGAGCAGCTAGACCCTACTCCGTTAAAATTCTTCTAGAAGACCAAGACTGTTCTTAGTCAATCATAATGTCGTTATCTTATGGAATTTGGAACACAATTCATTTCATTAATTTCCATTAGACTTTAAGAGAAAAGATTGAAATTCAGATGGGAAATTTCAATCTGCACGCGTTGATGATATTTATAACTAAAAAAAAAAAAACTACATCTGAAAATTTTCTTTTATTTTCGAAAAATCACTATAATGTTTCTAATTTTTTTACTTTAAATCCATCATCCTATCCTTCCGTCTAAATAATAAGTTGCTCATTTGAATATAATTTAAAGATTTAAGTATATTTTACTGTAAAAGAATTATATTTCTATTGAAGAACTGAAAAATAAATGTTTTTGAAATAATTTTACAAGCACGAAAACAAAATGTAGAGACAGAGAGCACTAACCAACAGAAGGCCTTTGATAATTTCATCAGTATAATACTCAGGTTCTGATTCTTGAGAAGTAAGAAGATGATCAATCATCGTGTTCATACTCTCTAAATTCTTCTTCTTACTCCTATGTTCATCAATTAAATCTTGCAAGAACTTATCAACCTCTTTTCCAAGTCTTATCACTTTCTTCTCAAATTTACCACCATCAATCCAATTAAGAACTGGCAGAAAATCTCCCGGATTTGATACACCTCCGGTAGACATTATCTCACCAATTATCTTCCTAAATCGTTTTCCTTCTTCCTTATCAGTAACATCTTCTCCATAATATCTCTTCCCTGCAATCATTCTCATTATTACATTAAAAGTTAGCTCTTTGAACTTTGATTTCAGTTCTACTTTAGCATAATCTTGAATCGACTCATGAGACAGCTTTACGGCTAGTCGTTTGATTTCTTCTTTTCGAATGCTTAGAAACGCGTTTAGACGATGCGTTGAAAAAATCTCGATAGTTCCAATACGCCGGAGGTTGCGCCAATGGTCACCGTAAGGCGACTGCCCAATAGTGGAGTTGTTATAAGATATATGCTTCCCTATTAGAAAAAAATTTGGACGATTGGCCAAAACGATATCATTTTTGGTGAAGCATTCTTCGACGGCGGATGTTGATGAGACTACAACTACCGGGCGGCTACCGAACCTGAGGAATATGATTGGGCCGTATTTTTTAGATAGATGGTGGAGAGTACGGTGCATAGGAGCCGGTGGTTTTAGGAGACGGAGGTGGCCGATTATTGGAAGAGAAGGTGGACTTGGAGGGAGGTTTTTGTGGGATATTTTTGACTGGTAAAATTTAAAAGCAAAAATGAGGAAGACAAGGGAGAGGAAGCAGTAATGGAGTGAGTCTTCCATGCTTAATGGTTTCTTGCTTTGCTCGAATGGGTTCAGGTTTGTATTTATTTGCAGTCATAAGTCTGTAAAGCAGTCAACTCAAGAACGGTTGAAGAAGTTGGAGTAACTGGAAAGTCTACCCCTACGACGTCGTGATGAGTAATATGGACCTTCTGGATTGTATTGAACGATATAGTCCATAAGCTGAGGACAAAATTGACGTCATCTTTGGCAAAGACGGACTTGTTACTTGTGGAGGAGAGGGGGATAAATAAGTTATTTAAAAGAAATATTTTCTAGAAATTAACAAATAAATTAAAAGAATTATATATAATCAATTGTGGTTTTTATTTTTAGTTTTTACTTGTAATATTATTAAAATTCCTTATTGAAACATAGGTTGAAAAAATAAAAATAAACAAAATTTTAATATTTTTAAATCTGAAAACATGATGTTCTCTTTAAAATATTAAAAATTAAAAATAAACATTATTAAAAAATAAAAAAATAACTACAAAAATAAATATGCAATTATGGAGTGAAATATCTCGAATTTTTATTTTCAAAACTTTGGGATTTTTATTAAATCAAAAATCTGAATTTTTGATAGTATGGGTTGGTAGGATCGAGCAATTTCGAGCAATTCTAATTTGAGCCCCAAAGTTTTACCGAGTTGGGGCCCAAGCCCAAATAAAATGTCGAAAATTTTGAATCATAAAACAAAAGAAACCCCGTAATTTAAACCTATTAATGAAAATATAAAAATTAATTATCCTAAATCAAATACTAATTATTATTGTTATTAATTGAGTAAATTGAGGAAATGTTTCTAGAACCCTAACTAAAGAAATTAAAATAAATCAAATCGGATTAGAAAACAAGCAAATCGAGCCGAATTATTGAATTAGACCAACCGGTTCGAATCGAACCGGGAATGGTCCTAGAAGCCAAGAATTTCTTTCTTTCTTTTCTTTTTCTTTTTTTTTTTTTTTTTTCTTTTCTTTTTCTTTTCCCTTTCCTTCCTGCGCTAGTGCCAGCGCCGCCAACCTCCTCACTCCTCTTTCCCCCCCTTTTCCGGCCACCAGAGCCGATTGACCTCATCTCCTTCGCCGTCAACGTCACTACCCGTAGCTGCTCAGATCTCCTTCCCTTCTCCTTCTTCCTGGTGACGCAGCAGCTGAAGGGGCCGCGATTTTCGCTCGAACATAAAATGCGCGTCTTCAGCTTAAATTCCGGGAAACCAGTCAAGGGGCTGGCTTGTTTACACCTTCTAACCACCTTTGGCGACTCCACCGGCTTTAACCGTCTTTCTCAACTCCGGCAGGGTGCAAATGCAGATAGCTTGGAGCTATTTCCCGGTCATCCTAACCGGAAAATTTATTTTTCCGAACGCTAAATCTGTTTTAACTAGGTTAATTAATTTCTAACCATTTATAATAGTTTAGCCCTTCAAATTTTATTTAAGGGGTATCCATGATTAAATAATATGGGTAGAATGTACATTTCTAGCTACTGCCTGTTTGTTTTGCTCAGGAATTATATCAAGCATAGCTACTTAGGAATTTATTATTTTGGAGTTTCTGATGAAAGTTGAAGTGGGTTATTAATGGTTAACAGTTTTGGTCTAGGAATGAGAAATCTAGCTATTATCTATACTGTTAGCTTAAAGAATTTTTAAGAGACATTGCTAGCTATAATATAAATCGTATAAATGTAGTAATATATTCTAAGTATAAGCATGCTAAATTTACAACAAAATTATATTTATTAATGACTTTGAGCTAAGGGAGCGGTTATACTTACTCGATAATATTATTCTTGCTAGATAAACAATTTGGATCATGGATTGCCTTAATTAAGAATGGAAATGGTAGAGTATACCAAAAATGGAGGAAATGAAGCTTAATTGAACTATAAACTGAAGTCCCTTACTATATGAATCAATTATTTAAGTTTCAGCAAAGGATTTGGCGAAAGAAGTTAGAAACTTTAGATGGCAGCGACCATTTTCAGTTTCCCTTGAGTTTTTGCTTTGATATGAATTATATGTTGTTGTTAAGTTTAAATTTTGATGGGAAATGAGTTAGTTTGTTTACTGTATATAAGTTTAAGTCAAGTAGAAGCTATTTCTCTTGGTGGGCAGCAGCTATTTCAGGTAACGGGTGCCCTTTTAGATATATTAACGTAGAAATATATATATATTGAATTTTTATTTAGGTTAACATCGATTCTTAGTGGCTAGTTTAGAATTTTAACAAATGTATAAATATATGTGGTTTATACCTTAAGCAAGGGTGATGAAGTAAAGGCTCGACGAGGAGTTTAACAGAATTAATAAAATATTGGAACATGTTGGAGGTTATTATAATTTGTCAGATTTATTTAGTGAACTTGAATACCTTGTACTGAAAAAGGAGGATGGGACTTAAAATTTGTTGATTTGCCCGACGGATGGGCTGTGTACATTGCTTGATAAATATATATAATATTGCGATATTGTGAACAGGTAGATAGTCCAAATTTTTTAGGGAGGGAGCGTGCTGCCGAAATTTTGATAGAACTTAGACTAGTTTTAAGAAATGACATAATTAATAAGTTTATTTAGAATTAATTCTATAACTTTAATCAAATATTAAATAGAGTGCTCTAATTAACTTTAATTATTTTCATTATTATTTCATTGAAATTATTCAATTATTTATTGTTTCCATTATTTATCAATTTATTTTATTTTGTTTGTTTATTCCTAATATTATTTTATTTATTTAATTTAATTGCACTTGAGATGGTTTGTCTAGTTGTGCATTTGCATTACGCTTGTCCAACTGATCCATATGTTTTGGCACTTAATTGCAATGTTTTGATTAATTGTTCCTGTGTTTATGCTATGCATTTGTTTGTGTGGAGTTGGGATGAAGTGGGGTCACCATGGGTTTGTGAGGACGGTTGGACGTCGGCCGGTAAATGGGAAGATCGGCGCCGCCGTGTGTACCTACCGTTGTGAGTTGTATGATATGGAAAAACCACAGGTTGGCTTCTTTAATTGGGGCGCACCCTAGATAATCTAGGTTTGATCGCAGCCCGCAGGGTGGCCTCTGTTGTGACGCGCGCGATGATCTAAGATTTGATGGAGACGACCGGGTTGCCTCCTGTTTGGTCTGGGAAAAGAAAAAGAGAGATGAAAAAACAATGAAGAGGCTTGGTCAGTGAGGATTAGACCGGTCGGCCAGTATGGGGGATTGGCTCCCTGGTGCACACGTTATGAGAGGAGAATGGGCCATGTGGGGAGGACGGCTCAATGCGGGGGGTTCGGTGACTCCACTGACTAATTTCCACGTGATGTGATTATATGAAGATGTTAATAATTGTGAGTGCTGGTGATATGCCATTTGTGTGGCTGGCTGTGTGAGCATATACCTAGTCGGATGACTAGGTTGATATTTTTACACACTTGTGTGACTGCGTGTGTTGTGCAATAATTACTACTGCTTAGAAAACTCACATGTCTTGTTTGATTTTTTTTCAGGAAGTAAGTTTTTCCTTTAATTCGATTTAGGCTATGTTTGTTCGACGCAGGGCAATAGAGAAATTTTTCTAGTTCCATAAATATTTTGCTATGTAACTATATGTATAAAAAAAACTATGTATACCAAATAGTTAGTGACTCCGCAGTTGTAGAATTTACTTGTAGAATTTTACTTACATTTAGTCGTGTATTCCTCGTGCACGAAATGATTCTGTGAAGCCTATATTAAAAATGTGATGTATCTGATTAATTGGACTGAATGTTTAAAAATAATATGGAGATAATAAAATTTTTAGTGTTTTAGGCTTTAACTACGGGCCTTCGGGGGCCTTAAGCTTACATGGCCCCTTAGTGCCGGTCCGGCCATGAAATCGAGTCGTGACAAAGTTGGTATCAGAGCTAGTTAGGGATTCTAGACACAACTGCGGAGTAATAGGAATTTCTTTATGTTGGGGATGCGGCCGTAACCAGCATAAGGAAGGAAACTTGTGATTTTCCCCCCTCCAGGAATGGTGGAACGCACTAGACCCTATGAGGTGGAAAATCCACACCTATTGTGTAGATCAAATAGGCTTATAGAATGAAGTAATTCAAGGTTTGAAGTGAAACAGCACTAGACAATAAAAGATACAATCTATCGCAGTACCTTATAGGGGCTAGAATGGTATCAACCCTTTAAGCTAGGGAATCAGAGTAACCTGATTGGTAGTTGGATTGGGCCTGATCACCCAGTTACACTACTTTTCATGTGAACTCTATTCCTGTCAGTGAAGTAAGGAATAGTGTAGAGAATAAAAATAGGATTTTCATTGGTATGGTAGATTCATGAACAAAATAATAACTTTGAGGTAATTAGAAAATTTGGTGTCTAGTTTTCAACACAGCTACTGAATATCTTTTAGAAGAGTTTATTTAAAAATATAAAACCTTTTTTTTTGTTTTCATTTTTTTAACCTGACTATTTTAAATTTAAAAACCCCATTTTAATTTTTGATTCAATTGGTGGTTATGATAAATAATTTTGAAATTGATTATTATCATAGAAAATTTATTTTTTGAAAAGCCCGTCTATTTATATCAGGGGCGGGGGGGCCCCCCCCAATTTTTGGGGGGGGGGGGGGGGAATTTTAGAAAAGCATGAAAAATGAAATGGATTACAAAGGATTAGTAAAATTTTGAAAGAAAGATTGGGAAAAGAAGAATGAGACTGGTGGGTGGATAATAATGAGTAAGTAGAACAGTTAGTAGTCAAGTTTAGAACATGAACGCTGGAAATGGTCCGTTTTTTGTTCCGATTTTGGTATAGATAGGTAATGGCGATTAGATGTGGAGTATAGGATGATTTTTTTTAATGTAATACATGGAAGAACATAACATTAGGAAAATGGACTGAAATGATTTAAGGGTATATGAAATAATATATATAACGAAGTTGTAATATATATATGAGCGAGTAAGTGGTAGATAAAAGTTTGAGAATTTATAAACACCTTACTAGACTTGAAATAAAGGGAAAGATTGATTGACTAAAGATAGATAAATAAAATAG